GATTCTTTCTATACTAATTTTTATTATAAATAATAATCGTGTAAAAAAAGAAAGAACATACATTTAATACGTATTGAGAATTTTCTGCGAATTGTTGTAAAATATCTTGCATACTCTCTCCACCAATTTGTTGCTCCAATATATCTTTCAAACGTTCGACTATCTCTAACCGATTTGTTAATGTTTCCTGTTGAGAAATCACTCGATTACTATACTCCTTTGCTTTCTTCATTTCCATATCTAATTCTATCCGATCTTTTTTTAATTTCTTAGCTGTAGAAGCTACTCTATCGAGAGCACTTAAAGAAGAAGATCCTGCATATTGACTTTGTAAAAAATCTATTATGTCGATGTAAATTCTGTAACAATATAATATTTTTTAAATTTCTAAAAAATATATCTAATTTTTCTACAATTTAATTACCTGCAACGATCGTCGCATTTTTTTCTACAATACTGCATGTTGGCTCTCATTTTATCAGAGTGTATCATCAATTTCTCATGTTCATCTTGCAAATAAGATATTTCACTTTCAAGTTGTGACTTTCGTGCATTTAATTCCATTTCAGTACTTTTCTTATTAGCTAATTCAAAATTAAGTCTCGATATCGTAGCCTTGTCTTCGCTAACCGCTTGCAAATCCAAAATCTGATGTCTCAAATTATCTAACTCTAATGTTTTTAAAGAATTTACCATGTACTGCAATTTACTCTCTTCTTCAGCAACTTCGAGCTTTCTTTTCAAAGTATCATTGTCGATTTTTAAAGTTTCTACATCGTTCAGCACTTCAGATTCATCTACATTTTTTTCTTGATAATTTTGTAAGGAAATAATTTTAGATAATTTTGTATGAACATCGATTAATTTTTCTTGTAATTCACTATTCATGGTCGTGATTTCTTTAACTTTGGCTTCACATTTTGTCAATTGACTTTGAGATATTTCATGAAGTTTGGTCATATGATCAGCACGCTGTCTTTCCATTAATTCTTTTGTTTTGTAATCTCTTAATTTTTGAACTATATCATTTGTATCTTCTTTAGAAATCTCTTCCTTAAATAAATCTAATAATTGAGATTTTTCTTTTTTCGCTAAATTTAATTCGTCATTTAATAATTCAATTTCATTTCTATCTTCGAAAATCGTATCTTTTTCAAGAATAAAACGATATCTTATATTTAATTCTTCGTATTTTGCTTTAAGATCGCTATAATCTGTAATACTTACAGAATTAGATAAATTACTTTGCAGTCTTATTGTCTCGCACTCTAATATTTTATTATGCTTACTGGCATCAGTCAATGCTCTTTTAAAAGAACTTTCTTTTTCGATAGTACTTTTCTGATAATTATATGCTTTTATAGATTCATTATTAAGAAGTTCTTGTAAAAGTACTATTTTTCTTTTAACTAGTAACAATTCACTAGCAACTTCTATATACTCTTTAGTTTTAATTGCAAAAGCTTTTTTTATTTCATCTTCATCACTTTCAAAAACCTTCAAATCTTTTTCATAAATTTCTAATTGAAGATTTAAACTATCTATCGTATCTTGCAAATCTTTTTTTTCTTTTATCAATGATTCCTTTTCTTTATCTCTTTTCTCTATTTCCCTTTGATGAGTACTTTTCATATTTTTTATTTCCGAAATGTACATTATTTTGTCATTGTCAGAATCTTCGATATTCAATTTTTCTAAGACTATACCTTTGCTTAATGCCAAATCTTGTAATATAACATCCTTTCTATCAAGCTCTTTTCTACAACGTATTTTTTACATATAATACATGATTCAAAATCTATATTAAAAACAATAAAAAATTACCTCATTTGTTTAAGTTGAGATCTTAATTCCGCATTACTACCTTGTATAACATTTAAATTTTCTTGCAATCTCATAGCAGGATGATACCAACCAGCTAAATGTCTTACATCTAATGCTTCCAATAATCTTTCCAAAGTATATGAATGCACTTCTACTAAACTTTTTCCTAGAATATAATTTCAATAATTCGTACTTCAAATATGAAATATTCTGTACTCTTACTTTAATATTAATATGATGCCTTCGTATATATACAATATATAATAGAAAAGAACAATTAAAGAAAGAAAAGCTAATTAAAAAGAAACTATGGTACGTGAAAAAATAATTGAATAGTGCGTAATTGCAATTATAATAAGATTATAACATTATAAAAATTCACCATCTTGACTGCGTATACTGTCCAGAATTTCATGCATGCCTCTTCTAAGAGCTTCATTCTCTTCTACAACTAATTTCATTTCTTTTCTAAAATCTTTATCAGTTTTATGATATATCTTAACAGATTCAAAATCAACCACTTGATTTCCACTGGGTTCCAATAATTTAGTCGAATGCAAAAAGTCAGTACTGTTATCTATTGTATCGCTTGAAAAATCTAATTTCTTCGTAGGTAAGCGCGATCTATTTGATTTTAGCAATCTTATCTATAAAAATTCAGGAATATAATTACATATCAATTTACTTTGTTAAATAATTGAATGTGTAGAATATGTAGGCAATTATTGCCAGTGCATTAAAATTAAATGCATTAAGATATATCAAATATTTTTTGTAAGACTTACACTTGATCTCATATCGAGATTTTCATCTATTAACATTTTATTCTGTTGAATAAGCTCTTGCTTCCTTTTTTCTTCTTCTCTATGTTTTTTCAAAATATTATCTATGGAAATTGATTCGTCCTCTGAGATCCCTAATTTTTCTCTACAAAATTATAATAAAACTTTATGTAATATCATTCTCGAAAAATGTTTATACACCAAACATATAAAAATACCTTAAAGCTAAAATTTCCATTTCTTGATAAGAGCTTAACATTTCTAACTTATTAATTACATTAACAAGATCTTCAACATGTTCTTTTTTATTATTTAATTCACTTTTTAATTCCTTTATTTCATGTAATGCTTCTTTTAATCCCTGATTTCCATCCTCGTACTTCCTCAATATTGATAATATTTCACATAACTAAAAAATCGATGATTAAAAAGCTTAATGCAAATTTAATCAAATTTAATTTGCATAAAAGCATATATAAAAATAACTAACTTCACTACTTTTTAATTTTAAATCCTCCTGTGCTTGATCTAATTCATTCTGTAAATTGAATATTTGATTATTTGCTTCTTGCATTTTTTTTAATAACTCTTTTTGTTCTTTTCTCTTCTCTTCTTTTTCTAATCTGGACAAAGATAACAATATAACAATATAACAATTTTATGAATTTGTTAGATTTTCATACGATGATTTAAAAAGTAAATTTACATACTTTTTTGTATTTGCTTGTAACTTTTCTATAATTCCAGCCTCTTCATTTATTTCTACAATTGCTTCAGAAAGTTTACTTTGTAATTCTGCTATAATTTTATCACGGTTACTAATCTCTTCATTTAAATATACTATCTGCGATTTATTGTCTTCTTTAACCAATGTAACAGATTGCAATAAAGATTGCGATAAGTTATCTCTTAGACGCTTTATCTCTGCATCCTTTTCATCTAATAATTCCTAATTATATGAAATTATATATAATAAATGTTTACATACATTATCTTATTTTTTACATTTAATAAAAATTATATCCAAAATTAATTTACCTTCCATTCTGCTATTCTAGAATCTATTGCTACTCCAAATTCATCTATTACTTTATCCCTATCCATTTGTTGACTAGTTAATTCTTCTATTTGATTGAACAAAGCAATATTTTCACGGTCCAAGTCTAATATCTTTTCTGAAAAATTAATATATATTCTTTTGTAATAAAAATTTACAAAAACTAGTCCAAATTGTCAATGAATTATCAATTTTTCTTGCCTTTATATTCGAGCACTTTTGATTGTGTAGAACTTAATTCATCAGTCATTTCGTTCATTCTCTTAGTTGCATCCTCCATCTCATCTTTCAACATTTCTAACCGTTCTTTCAAAATAGCATTTTCACTATCCAACCCCTAAAATATAAAATACATACAATAAAATTATATATACTAATTTGTATATTTAATTTATCATATATTGTTTACCTCTAATTCATTCATCAATTTTTCTATTTTTTCATTTTTATCTTGTATTACAGTCTCATGATTAGCAGTTTCAATAGTGTCAAGTGACTAAAGGAAAAATACTTGTTTAATTAATATTCTTACAAATTGAAATGATTATAGAAGCATATCCTATGATTGTTACCTTAATAAAACTTGTATCTTTATACTGTAAATCAGATACGTTTTGGCCTATAATATTAAATCAAAATAAATTAACTTATAAAGTATAATAAAATTAGATACAAGTGTCAGAAATTTGTTACCTTTAATTTTCTGTTTAGAAAAATCTAGTTTTAAGGAAGATACAGTATCTTTTAACGCTCCGCATTCTATGAGTAAAGATTCTACCTAATAAATACAAATTACGTATTAAACATAAATTAACAGTAGAAATGTTTAGTATATATTCAAAATATAATAACAATGATCATAATATAAAATCATACTGATAATTATACAAAAATGAATATGACATACTTGATTATCTTTATATTGCAACATTTCTTGTGATATTCTCATAAGCGTTTGAAGATTTTGCATATCAGAAATTTCATCAATATTGCAACGCATTATCGTAGGACATAAATCCTCGATTTCTTCGTCTGTTAAAGATGAAACATTTAAAGAAAATATTCGTTCCCAATTTGTTCGAACCATATTTCTTTGCTATATTATATATATATATATAATTAGAAAAATAATTTTATTTTAATTTTACGTCTACGAAGTTAAAAAAAACTTATGAACACAATACTTTGCAACACTTAGTAACCATGACAACGAAATAAAAACAAATCTCCCCGCCTTTTTGTATACAACACCATTTACAAAAACTCAGTCGGTAAAATTGAAGAATCGCCCACTGATGGTCAGGTTAGAAACTAAGTTGAATCTGGTTAGAAAAAAAGTGGACTTGTGAGCTTCTATGTACTTCTGTATTCTTTGATAATTGTGCGTTTAGTTAATCGTTTGAGTGATATAAATTGTAATTTCGTAGTAAATATTTGTAAAAAAATATAGATATAATACAATTATTACAAATATAAATAATACATTTACTATCAAAAATGAATATTTTCAGAAGACTTTTTTTATTAAATAAATTTGTAAATAATGTGCCAAAATTTCTAACCTCCGAATCTTCAGCCAAAGCATTCATCGAAAACGCAGAAAATGGTAAGATTTTATATCTACAAAAAATATATCTAATATATAAATACATAAATAATGTTTAATTTTTATTCTTTTTTGTTTAGAAAAAAGTATTATTGTTAATAAAACCGGTAAAATTACTTTAATCGCTATAAATAGGCCAGAAAAAAAAAATGCATTGGATACTGCAACAACTAAATTACTCTGTGATGCATTGGACGAATTTGAAAAGGATGATAATGCTGCTGTGGGTGTACTGTATGGTATAGGAGGAAATTTCTGTGCAGGTTTTGATTTACATGAAATTGCAAATAGTGAAGGAAATGAAAATAAATTACCGCAATTTGGAGCACTGGCAAGTCGATACATTCCTTTATAAATATGTTATCTATACTATTCGAATATATATAATTTTACTTAATTCTTTAAAACAGGCTAGTAGAAATGAATTGACCAGTAAACCATTAGTGGCCTCGCTAAATGGATATGCGGCAGGTTTTGGATTAGAACTGGCATTAATGTGTGATGTACGAGTCATTGAAGAAACCGCAGTTATAGGATTTTTGAATAGACGTTTTGGAATACCTATTCTGTGCGGAGGTACAGTTCGTTTACCAGCTGTGATTGGATATGCTAGAGCTATGGATATGATTTTAACAGGAAAATCTATTACTGGAGAAGAAGCTTTCAATATTGGACTTGCTACTAAACTCACAACGTGTGGTACTGGTTTAGGTCAAGCAGTCAATTATGCAAAATCTTTGGTAAAGTTTCCACAACAGACTTTACTAGCAGATCGTACCTCTATGCACTATGCTACTTTTTTGGCTAAACAAATGGAGGAGGCATTGCAATTTGAAAAAGACAATGCTTCTCATCTTTTAATAGAAGAAGGTATAGAAGGAGCTAAAAAGTTCGCCGAAAAAGGTATAGGCAGACATGGAAAATTTTATAATCTCACTGAACAAGATGATACTATCAGAGAATTAGATAAAAATCTCTTATGAATATCAAACGCGTTAGATTTATTTATTCCTTTTTTATGTCTCCAACAAAAATATTAAATCTTAAAATTCATTTAAAAATAAGTAACATTTGTAATAATTATTTTTGGCGCGTTTTTCTTCTGGCGAATTCTTTTCAATATTTCCATACATTTCTTTCCTGTTTTTGTATTTAAAAGAGGTACTAACGTTGTAACTTCGTTATTAGTATGACCTATGTACAAAATGTTACCTAGAAACAACAATTTAGAAGTTGAAAGTTCAGCTATAGATAAGTTCCTTAATTGACAATTAATTTCGTCGCAAAAATCGATTGTACCGAAGAATTTATACTCTTTGATGATCTAGAAAATAATATTATCTAAGTTATCATTTAGAATATTAATTACACGCTTTATCCAATCGAACGACTTGTCGAACGTAATCTAATATAAGTTCAATAGGACAGTCAACGTTCACTAAGAGTTCCTTGTCAGTAGATACTGTTTCAACGTCTTTATCATCATCATCATTACTTTTGAAAACATATTCCACTTTCATTAATAAAAAAACACCTGTACATTACCATAATAAATTACCATGATATTTCACTTTTATTATACTCATGTAGAATTTAGAATAAATCGACGATATTTTAGATCTGCAATTGTTTATAAGAGTAACTAAATTTTAAGTTTGACTTAAAACTAATTAAATTAAGTAAAAAATTTTTATAAATAAACAAATGAAATTAATATGTCTCTTTGATGTTTTTGTTTTAATTACTGTTTTTAAAAACCAGACTAAGCGACTAGACGCGCTCTCTAGTGGCAATAGAAATAATTCTTTCATTGTGAATATTGTACCCATATTTATAACACGGCGATCGTCCTCCTTGTATGTAGGCTCCATGTTTGTAATTTAAATTTTGTTCGTACGTGACGTTGAAATCGCACGTGCATTGAAGATAAAAAAATGGTGCACACGACATTATTTTGACAGTGAAACGATATCAAGTGTCACTTTATAAATAGTAAGAATAAATTGATTCGCAAAATAGAAATTATTTAATTATTAACACAAGTAACTTACTTTCAAATTTGAATAAAGAATATTAACGCTATGGAAATATATAAAAATATTTACAAACACTTTATCAGAAGTTAGAAATTACGAGAAAAAGAGCATGTAAAATAATATCCCAAAGATAATAAAGCATAATGGAAATTAACGAAGATAGTGATTTAAGTGATCTACGATCTGGCGTTTATACATTTCCTTCGAGTGTACAAAATGTTATAGATCAGGTTTGTGTTCTTATTTATTTCTAACTTTTATACTCTGTTAACTTTATGAATCAAAATTGACAGTATATACAGTACATGCATAATATATATTGTCTATTTTCTATTAATTAATAGGTATTGTCCAGCGATGATCCATTGGATGAAGCAAATTTCACAGTCGTTAATTATATTAACTCTATATTTCCGACCGAACAATCTTTGTCTAATATCGATGATGTAATGAATGAGATGGAACAAAAAATTGATACTATTGACAAAGAGATGAGCGCTGTTGTATGCGGACAAACAAATATAGGTCAAGACGGTAAAGCAGCATTGGAAGATGCTCAAAAAGTAATTAAACAATTATTTGTTCATATTAAAGATATAAAGAATAAAGCGGAAAAATCCGAAGAAGAAGTCCAAGAGATCACAAGAGATATTAAGCAATTAGATTTCGCTAAAAGAAATCTTGTAACTTCTATAACAACATTAAATCATTTACATATACTTGTCGAAGGAGTTGACACATTGAAGTATGCATTTTATTTATATTTATACTTTTTGCATTTTAAGATAATATATATTATATATTTATGTCTACTTTTAGAATATTTATACAGAAAAAACAATACGGAGAAATTATTAATCCGTTACAAGCAATGACAGAAGTCATGCAACACTTCGATAGTTACATGGATATACCAGAAATTAAAAAATTATCAGATGAAGTAAGATATTTTACATTATATTGTTAACGTAAGTGTATATAAAATAATTTTCATTTCTTTCTTTATTCCAGGTTCGACAAATACATGTTGAATTAGCTCAACAGATTACAACAGATTTCAAAGAAGCATTTTCCGGGCAAAATCCAAAATATTTTAATCAACTGACAGATGGATGCGTAGTAATATCTTTATTAGATCCAAAAGTAAAGTATGTACCATTGTTACAATTTTTCTAATTACAAAAATAATAATAATGTATATCTAAAAACAATTGAAAACAATACAAACTTTAATGTAGGAAAATTATATGCTAATAATTTGCCTTCTTGTTTTTAATAGGAAAGATCTGTTAACATGGTTTATAGATATTCAATTAAAAGAATATGCACACTTATTTGACGAAAATCAGGATTACGCATGGTTAGATAAAATAGATAAACGATATGCATGGCTTAAGAAACATTTGCTTGACTCTGAATCTAAATTCGGTACAATCTTTCCACCCGATTGGGAAGTATCTGAACGTATTGCTATTCAATTCTGTTATGTTACAAACGAAGCTCTGACCAAATTGATGCACAAAAGACGTGCAGAAATAGATGTCAAATTGTTACTTTATGCGATTCAAAGAACAGCGAATTTTGAATTATTGTTAGCTAAACGTTTTGCAGGAAGCAAATTATTTACCGATAATACTACAATATCTAATGAAAATGGAAATTTGACTGTGAATAATAAAGATAATAAAGGATCTGGAAACCCATTTGAGGAAGACGAACAAGTAAAATTAGTTTGATTATTTTTAATATGTCTTAAAATATTATTTTTTTTAATAATAAAAAAATTTCTTTCAGGTGGAACATCAAAAGTCAAAAACATCTCATTTTATAAACCTCATAGGAAGTTGTTTTGAACCATACTTATATATATATATTGACAGTTTAGACCGTAATCTAGCCGATTTAATGAATAAATTTGTATCTGATTATAAAACTCAACCACTAGGGGGAAAAGATTTTGATGATAATGAAGGCTCCAATAGTGTTCTATCGTGTGCTGAATTATTTCTTTTTTATAAAAAATGTATATTGCAGTGCACGCAACTTAGTACAGGAATAATAATGCTGAGCCTTACTAAAACTTTTCAAAAATATTTACGAGAATACGCCGTGAAGATACTTCAAAATAATTTACCTAAGTTAATAGTACTAAATATTTATCAATATACTAATTTTTAAGATTTTCTGTGAACTGTCTTGTTGCTCATACAACAAATTTGGTTACAGGAATGGAAGCAGTCTAGGAATTAGTACGAGTATGAGTAGTATAACACGAGATTTTCGTGGTTTATCAACATCCGGATTTATACAAAATGTTCAAAATTTTTTAAAAGAAGGTGAAAGTACGAAATTTTGTAAAGAAGAACAAGCACGTATTTGCTGGTAAAATGAACTAACATTTTTTAAATATTCAAAAAATTCTTGCAAAATAAATGAACATTTAAGAATCTTTTCAGCATTTTAACAACGGCAGAATATTGTTTAGAAACGACGCAACAATTGGAAGAAAAATTACGTGAAAAAACGGATCAATGCTATGCGAAAAGAATTAATTTATCTCAAGAGCAAGATATCTTTCACGAGTACGGTATCTTTGTCTCGTATTTTGATATTAAAAATTGCAAAATTTTACTAAACTAGATGTAATTTTAAACGTTTGCTTCTAGTGTTATTTCAGAATGTATCCTGTTACTCGTTCAAGACTTAGAAACAACTTGCGATTCTGCATTAACTGCAATGACCAAGGTACATTAAATAAAAAAAAAACTTAACAAATAAATATTATTTTTCTTAGAGTTTATTAATAAACTTACAATATTTAAAATATAAACATTTGTTTAAAGGAACAAGCATAAAATAATCATATTCCTGTTTTCTTTCAGATACAATGGAGTTCTATAGAAACGGTTGGAGATCAAAGTAATTATGTTAATACAATAGTGGTACACCTACGACAGACGATTCCTACGATAAGAGATAGATTATCTTCCTGTCGGAAATATTTCACACAATTATGTGTGAAGTTCGCAAAGTATAATATTTTTCTATATAATATAGGAATTATTTAATATTTATTTATAATATAATTGTATTTACGATTCAAATGGGAATTTTTATTACAGTTCTTTTATAACTAAATTGGTGCAGCAATTATATAAATGTAAACCGTTAAGTGCAGTAGGTGCAGAACAATTATTGCTTGACGTTCATATGCTGAAAACAGAACTTTTAAAATTACCTTCCACAGGCTATCAAATTCAGAGAGAACCACCTGCTTCTTATACAAAGGTAATATATTCAATTCAACATGTGATTATAATAACAAATAATAATTTTATTTTTTAAACAGATTGTTAATAAAGGTATGACAAATGCTGAAATGATTCTTAAAATCGTCATGTCGCCGAATGACTTTGTAAAAGAATGTAAGATGCACCTACCAGATTTACAAGTATCAGAATTTCAAAAAATCTTAGATATGAAGGTAATGATCGTTCATATAATTAATTACCACTACGTATATACTATTAATTTATCTTAATTATATTTATTTAGGGTTTAAAAAAAACAGAACAAGTTCAGTTAATAGAACAATTCAAGCAACCAGAGAGTACAGGTTTATCGTTAACTTCGAGAAACAATGCTATTCAAGAAAGTCCTGAGCATGAAGCAGGTCAAATTAAAAAATTAGAAAAACTTATTAAAAAAAGGATGTAAATTACCTACTTTTCCTTTGTTTTTATGTCGCATACTATTTAGATAATTAAGGATGAAAAATATTGTAATTTTAAATACATTTTATTTTGTTATATATTTATTTTTTAAAAAAGAACAAGATACATAAAATGAATATTTGTATGTATATATGAATATGCTATAGTGAGCCTTGAATGTATATCTTGAGTACTCAAGCATCCATTGTTACAAACGTATATAATATGTGTGTAACTGAATAAAACAAGCATATTGTACAAAGCTCAATTTGCTTGATTGCTTTCTATAATATGACAATTTTTATAATGTAATATACTTATATAATTGCATATCATTGTCATCATTACCATTGTTATTATTATTATTATTATTATTATTATTATTAATATTATATCCATTATAATTGCTTTTATTACTGTTATATTGATATCAATATTATACTTCCTTTGTAAATATAATAGCACACATTATCTCGTAAAAATAATTTTGATAACATATTAATAAAATTTTACATTTCCTTTTTGGAATATTTTAAAAATACAGGGTCTAGTTTAAACTCAAATGAAATAAACACTTCAGCGAAGATTCATTATCAGTGTTGTTCAATTCAAGAATATCCTTATTATATTCGTCACCGTATATGATAACATAAAGACCAATTCTAAGAACATACTATTAAAATTCAAGATTTTAAAAGTATGCCTAATGAAAATATTTCATAAAATGTCTTATATCACTAAAAAGTATAATTATAAATTATTTCTCTTCTGATAAGTCATTGATTTTTTTTACTGTTAGTGATAGATTAAAATCTAGAGCGGTACTCATTCTTGATATTAATATAGACTGTGCACATATTATATACAAAGAATAATTATAACAGATTAGTAGTTAAAATTATTATATATCCATGAATTTAAGACCATATATATTGTCTATAAGATTATTTCTTATAGTTGCCACTTTACACTGTTCCAACATCTTCTGGATCGTAGTTTTTCATCCTCTTATTGTACGCTATTATTTCCTAAACAATGAAAAAATTAATGAAGAATATTTTTAATGAAAAATTTAATTTTTTTAAATTCTTTGTTCTAATTTGCAAATGTACTAAACACTTAAATTGATTATCTTTTAAAATCATGTTTTATCCAAAAGTGTATTACATACTCTTTCATATCTAACTCTATCTTCTTCAGCAATAGCCATATATTTTGATTTAGTTTGCAAATCGGTTGTCATCCAAAGTTTACCCAATTCTTTAGCAATGTCACCAACACCCATTTCTGGATGCAATTCTCTCATTTTACCACGTAATTCTTGGCAAAAGTAGAAAAACGCTGAACTAATAACAAATAATTAAAAAACTTTTATATTTATCTAATGAAGATTAGAAAAACAAAGAACATAGAATATGAACAAGGATATACATACAGTGCACGCTTTGGAGCATCCTTGTCTCTATATCTCTTTGTTCCTCTACGTGTTGGTTTCTCAATTTCTTCATGACCATAATGTCTATCGTAATAATACATCTTTTTATTGCAATGAGTCCCACCTTCAAGATGAACTATCTAATAATATACATAAATAAATCAAATAAATATTTATATTAAAATCATAGAATGAAAGTAAAGTTAAATTATCACAATGTTAAACTCACTTCATTTTTAACCGGAACAGCATTAATAATAAAATTTTTATTTTGAGCATTAGACCACTTTGCTTGATTGGATGAAACACCAGAAACGCTAACAGGCTTCATTACCCCGTCGCCACATTCTAAAAAAGTATAATTGACTTTTCGCAAATTATATATATGTGAATATGTACATATAAATATATAATAATTAAATAAAAAATGAAACATAACTTACCGGGGGGTATATTTCCAGGATTAACAATCATAGTATCTCTCATTCCAGAATTTAAGGAATTATCAGGATTTTTAGAAAGATATACATTTTTTCTATCATTAGACTCCATGACTGCGAAGGATTTTATCTTAATACGTCCTTTGTGAAGATATTGTTTAGTTGCCTAAAAATACTTTTAATATTTATCCCAAACTTTAATCTTATTACTATGTACTACCTTATGTTTCTTTTATTATTCTTATTTCATTATCCTGATTACTTACCACACACAAATAAGAATTATTTTAAATATATATATAATTTAGTCATGACACTTAACAACAATATTTAAAAGATTTTTTTTATTCTGAAAGAAATAAATAAATAAATACAGAATAAAGTAATTTAACAACATAACACACAAGTATTACAAATACTACCTATAAAATTATTTAGTAATAATTTTATGTGTATATATATATATTTTGTTAATAATAATCATCTTTTCGCATTTTAAATTTTGATTTGTTATTTCGTAAAAATAAAGCATTTTTACAAGGATTAGTCATTCGTATCATTTTTTTTTCTATGTTGAACATGGGAGAAGCAATTCTAACACATTCGCGTATAAATGAAGCACAAAAAAAAGAGAAATAAAATAACACTAAAAGAACAATAATCGACCGGACATAATTAAATAAAAAGAAAAAAAACAACAAAACAAAGGATACATTTAATTATAGCAGCATCGATTTACCTATTGTGACAACAATAGTCGCAACAGAGTACCTTAGCATAAGCTGCTGTATCCACGTAGTTTAATCAAGAATCACCTACAACCGCCGTTCCCTATGTTCAATGTAAATGTCCGTCGACAGTTGCTACGCGATTATATTGTTGCATCGTACAAAAGCTGTACAATGTGGATTTAGGATTCGTACAATTTAGTCGCATTGATTAAATGTATGCTTTCTATATGCCGGTAATCTACACGATAAAAATTAATCTAACTGATAACGTTGATATAAATGTCGTAATTTGACGTTGAAATACAAGTACCTTGATTCCGTCCCTTTATGGCGTAGTTCAGTGATACCAACTTTTCTATTTTAAATCATCCAGTGCATCCTGTGAATAACCCAACTTTTTATGTAACAACCTAACACATTTCAGTTTTATTGCAATTATTGAATTTTTGGATTATATAGAAAATATTATTCAGTATTTTAATTATTGAAATAAAATAGAACAAAAATATATTTGATTATTAACAATATTTTGGTTAAATATAGAAATCGTTACGTATATGCGAGTACTTGAATATATGCAAGTATATACATATTTTGGTTAAGCATACACAAAAGTTTTTAGTGTATGTGCATCGTTATAAACATAACAAAAGATGTCTGATATACAGGAAGTGAAAAGTGTTAAAAAGAAAAAAAGTGGAATTATTTATTTATCATCTATTCCTAAATATATGAACATTATTACGGTTAGAGAAATGTTTTCTACATATGGAAAAGTTGGTAGAGTATATTTACAACTTGCTGAAAATCGTAAGTTATAACATAATATTTTTCAAGATATTTCTGTTGCAATTAAAAAATAAAAAACTTAAAGAAAATCTCTTTGAAAAAATAAGATATTTGTATTTACAATAAACTTTATTTCTACAGCAGGGAGTGATAAGAAAAAAAAACCGATAAAACATTTTACAGAAGGATGGGTGGAATTCGAAAGTAAAAGAGTAGCCAAATATGTAGCTGCGACATTAAATAACAAACAAATTTCAATGCGTAAGAAAAGTAAATTCTTTGATGTCATATGGAATATCAAGTATTTACCACGGTAAGAAAATGCTAAGTAAATATTATATTTACTGCTATTTATATTTACTTTATTACTTGTATTTTATAATGTATTATTTATTAATTATAAATTATATATTAATATACAAGTTCTTTCTTTTAGATTTAAATGGATTCATTTAAGTGAACGTTTAGCATATGAACGAGCAGTTCACAAGCAAAGACTTCAAACAGAAATTGCACAAGCAAAGAGAGAAACTAATTACATTTCTAATAATATCGATAGAAGTAAGAAGTTAAGTAAAAAGAAAGTTGAAGGAAACACAACAAATTTTGTTTTACCTAAGATCAAACAAAAGGATACAGATGCGGAAATTAGAAATATGAAAGGAGAAACCGAGCCCCAAAATAGAGACGAAATTTTTAAATCCTTATTTAGTTAATGTTTCTAAAAGACTACAATAAATATTTAATGTTCGAATATTTTATTTTATTATATAAAACTAGTAATAAACTCGTATATTATAAATATTGATATTTTGTACAAAATCAAATGGTCTTATGATAAGATCAAATAGTACAAATAAACGATTTAATTATTTACGTTTGTACGTTTCATATTCATGATATTTATAATTGATAAAAGAAAAATATAATATTTTAATTGAAAAAGCTTTTATATATAAATTAAAAAAAGAAGAAAGAGAAAATCAGCGTTTAGCATTCTGTGAATGGCGCATGCGCATAAAATCGAATTTCGAGATTAAATCGAAGAGGCTATTTTGTATCGCCATTCTGATGTGTGGTTGGATCAGCTTACATTAGATGTGTGTGAGTGTCACGGGTTTCCATTACCAATAATACGAAAGTAGTATCGAAAGATCTTGCAAGTTTCAATGACCTTTCTTAGTTTCGTGTAATTTTCGTTTGTATAATATAAAAGTATTAGTCTGGTTTAAAGAAAAGTTAAATTATTATCGAATAGGTTTTTTAGATTGATCGATTGAGGAATTCAAGTGAATTGCAAAAATTCATTTCGTAGTGTACTTGTCAAGCTTGTAAACGTATACATATGTATAAATAAATGCATTTTGCATCATGCACGATCAAACTTTTGTTATTGACATCTATGAATGATATGCAAATATCATATTTATCGGGTACGTAACATATAATTATTTTGGAGAAAATAAAACTCAAGCTAATAAAATTCAGTAAATAAAATTGACAGTTGGTAACAGCAAGTTAGTCAGATCCCCGATAGAGATTTACCTTATGGCTTAACATCTGGAGTATCTCTGATTGTATGAATGTACAACTATGTTTATACATTTGAAATTACGTAATTATTTGCCTTTAAAGTTTTTTCCTTTTTCTGTACATAGAAAATTATAAATTAAATAATAGTTTAATTAAATTGTAGACACGAAATTCTAATCGAAAATATGTCCCCACGAAATGGCGTCACAGCTATGTACTTTTGATTATACACGCTGATCCTTGGAATCAGATAATTTGTAATTTTTTTCTCTATACAAATCTCTCGTATAACTTAGTATTCATCACATCATAAAAAATTAATATTTTTTGCACTTATTAATAAATTTATTGGTGATTTGCAAAAAAGAAAACTAAAATATGTGCATAAGATAATATTTCGTGGATTTATAAAGAGCTACTTTTTTCCAACATTAAAGAAGATATTATTTATACTACAAAATGTGAATAATAATTAAGTAATATCCAATTATTTTTCTAATACTAATAGATATTTTCTTGTCTTTCACAGATATTTGGCATCATCTTATTACTATTTGCATTGGTCTATCTCAAACAAGGCTTTAACTAAAGTATTAAGGATTGCAGATAACTCAAACAGATATTCTGACAATCCTTTATATGATCGTGCAGTAAAATAGCAACGTGAAATGGCAGAGGAGTGTAATGAGGTTAAATCAACAGGACCATCTTCGCCAAGAAGTCCGCTTAGCAATGGGACAGGAACTAAAGCTTGTAGTCCACATTCTCCACGGCAGCCAAAGCGTATAAAACTTACAGGACAACAATTGGATAGCTTAACTAAAGACGAATTGGCAGCCAAGTGGCAAGAACAGGACTTATATGTGGAATATCTAGAGGCCCAAGCAGCAGCCCAGGAAGGTACTGAGATCACTTGAGTGAGGCCAACTCACTCTCCACATTTCTTAACCAGATTAATGAATACCAGAACACTGCAATCTCTTACATGAGATAAGACTCTTATAGGGACGTTAAGCTTAGATCTCAACTGTTTTAAATCAGTGTATAGGATAATAATGATGTTAAACATATTTATATATATTTTATATATACATATTTTATATATATATAATATATATAATATATATAAATATATATAAAAGTTTGTAAGTTAAGGGGAATTTATTTATAAATTAGTTAGAAAATTAATTAAGTATACTTTGGAGTTTTCTCCATTTTTTTGGGACTGATTAAGTTGAATCGAGCATGCTTTCCTATTATTGCTATTCTTAATTAACTTATCTGAATCGCAATGTGCATTTCAGATATAATATTGTATATATTTTTAAAACATATTATCGACTACTTTTTCATACGTAGTAAGAACAAAAGGATATATATCATTGTCTTTCAAGTGCATTGAAGAAAACAAAAAAGAAAAGAAAAAGATAATAATAAAAATGAGTGATACATGATATTTGTGGGAACCAGGTGACATTTTTATAGTGCAACTTGCTACATGAAATATAATTATTATAGAAGAAGTCTTACACATCATGCAAAACTTCAAGATGCATTATACTTTTTTTAAAACATGCGTGTTCTCTTAAGGTGTATAGTGCGAATCAAAACAAAAAGAAAGAAAAGAAAAGTGATGCTGTGCATATTATGCAGACAAAATGAATTTTTTCATTTAACATCTGTATGTCTGCTTTGAATTATTTTTATTTCGTGAAATTGGAAGAGAAATATCATTTTTAATTTGATCTTATAAGTGAAAGTGCGATGTGCTGCGCATGTTCTCCTATAGTGTAATAAGCATTAAAGTTGGCAAAGAAACATGTGTGTGCGTGTGTGTGTACACATTCAATATGAAGTTTTCACCTTATGAGGATCATAAGGGATATAACATCTGCTCCGATGCTAACTTTACAACCCAGAGGAATGTAAAGAATGGTCCCATGCATCCTTCGGCCTAGAAAACACTGTGCTGGTCCTGAATATTATGGTGGGTCTTGAAAATGTTAATTGATCTGGTCGCCATCTGGAATCCCTTGTGTATAATTGGATACCCTATTTTTTTAAATTTATGCATCCTCTATTTTATCTGATTTTTCATTCTATCCATTTAATATGGTTGAATGATACTGTTATAATTATTGTGTTTATAGATATGTATATATATATCATATATAAGAAATACATATATACATATATATATATATATACTCTACAATAATCTCATAATAATAAGCAAAACAGAATCTAAAAGTATATGAATCTGTAAAAGATGTTAAGTGTGATTGCACATTATTGTCTATAAGTACTATCAATATTATATCTGTATGTATTTCTTATACATACTATGATGAAAATAATTGCCATTGACGAAATATATTAAGAACAAAAACTCTATTATATCGTAATTAAAGTAAATATTTTAGACGTTTCATTTGGACAAATAAAAACTGCTTTTATTAGAAACTCATAAGAAAATGAGAATAAATCTAAATTAGATCGTTAATGAAATATATAGACATAGTAATATATCTTTTTCATGGAGACAATTTAATTCATGTTCTGGGATACAAATGTGAAATTGATTCAGTGAAACTAATGGGCTAATAGTATATATAATATTAAAGTTATTTAATACTTTACTTTCATTTGAAAATGCAAGGAAAAAATAATGTTTAATAATATTAATACACAAATATTTTAGTTTTATCAAAGCCATTATCAACACGCACACACATATAAATAAATTGACTAATAGAAAAAAGTTAGGAAGCTGATACTGAAGCAAATATTTTAAATTAAAGATATTAAATGTACTAAGAGATATAAGATAGTATTTTAATTTGCATAATAATTTTATTATCGCATGTAATCAATACAATTTACTATATTTTAATTTATTAGAACATTAACATTAGTACTCTTCGAAAACATCAAAATATATATCAAACATGCAAATGGATATTAAAAGTAACAAATACGTATTGCAAAAGTTAACATAATACCATTTTATAGGTGAATTAGCTTCGTTGAGAGAATCCGAGGACAAATTCAGACAACAACATATTGAAGCTTCTCATCGTGAAAAAATCTTAGTGAGAAGGCTTGCCTCTAAAGAACAAGAACTTCAAGAATGTGTCGTATGTATTTTTAATTTAATTTTGTCAATCATAATAATTTTGGATATAACGTATACACTCACAAAAGCATTTTATTATCCAACAGAATCAAATATCAGAGATGAAAGCAGCCCAAGTACCATCCGTTACTTCTTTGAGATCTGCCTTGCTAGATCCAGCTGTTAATCTTTTAATACAAAAATTAAGGCAAGAATTGGTCACAACTAAAGCTAAATTAGAAGATACACAGAGCGAACTAAGTGCATGGAAATTCACACCAGATAGGTAATTAATTATAGTTGTTTAATGTATAAGCAAGATTTATTATATATTTAAATATATATATATATATATATATATATATTATGTATATAATTAAATGTGTACTTTTAGTAACACCGGTAAAAGATTAATGGCCAAATGTAGATTATTATATCAAGAAAATGAAGAATTGGGTCGAATGATAGCTAGTGGAAGAATTGCTAAATTAGAGGGTGAACTTGCATTACAAAGAAGTTTCAGCGAAGAAGTTAAAAAATCTCAATCAGGTATGCATTATATATAATAAAATATTGTACTATGTTTCAAATAATAATGAAATTAAAAAGAGCATATTTATTATTCGAATTATATACTATATAACTTTTATTCATGTTGTATCGAATAGAGTTAGACGAATTTCTTCAAGATTTAGATGAAGACGTGGAGGGTATGCAAAGTACAATATATTTCTTGCAACAAGAATTACGTAAAGCACGAGAATCGGTTATTTTATTGCAACAAGAAAATACGGTATTGAAAATAAATTCTGATGATAATAATTCAACGAATCTAACTAATGGATTGTCACCCCATACACCATCAATCAAAAAAGAAAAATCCGAGGAAAACTTAGCAGTAGATATGAAGAACTCGAAATTGACAGAAGGAAGTGATATGTGTAAAACTACGAGAACTTCGTCTTTACTAGATAATAAACTACTTCAAAGTGAACATGTAAGCATCGAAAGAGTAGATCGGATAGACAGAAAAACAAATCAAACTGATCATAACGATGAGAGCTCGAGCGATTCGGCTGCTTTAATAATTAAAGTCGAAAATGAAGAGTTGAGTGATAGGGAAGAAGATCACGAAGAAAATCGAAATAATAAGAAAACATTGAGGACTAAGAGTTACGATAAATACAGTGGAAAAACTAACGGGGATGAAGTATTGACTAGAGCAACTAGGGGTAGGGAAAGGACGAAAAGGAACAAAAGTGCACCGAGCAGTGACGACGAAAGGACGCATAAAAAGAAAAGAAGAGAAAGTGTTCTTTCTCTAGATTATAACGATGCTGATGATGATGCATTAGTTCTGACTAATGGTGAGACTCTTCAAAGTGATCCTGAGTGAATAAAAAAGAAATAATTTCTCGATTACGTATACATTATCGTTTCATCGTACGTGATTTTTTAGAGAACTAATGTGGTTCACAATATAGGATTAATGTCAATTGTACAAAAAAAAATAAAAGCAGAATTTTTACTTATTTCTTGGTAACAAAATTCTGTGCTAATTCTAATCCTATAAGTATTAGTTTGTATACTAATTATTATGTGTAACTTTGTACTTCTGATACTATTGATAATATTTTGATTGAGTCTAATAAGCTATTCTCTCATTTTCACACATTGACAGCCGGCCCTGCGAAAACGCGGATTTCTGAGCTATTCAGTAATCAGAAACAAGCGAATAAGGCCGGCGCCTCAGGCTTTAAATGTCTTTTAAGTCGCTGGCTGTCAATGTGTTCATATTTCATTAAATCACTCTCTGTGTATATTATATTGTATTAGCCGTATGTTTTTTTTTATCCTGTTCTATTCTATAGTATTACATTTGAATTTATTCTACTTTTTGACATTTATATAAATATATACACATAATTCAAACAAATTTAATTTGTAAATACAAATTTGTGAATCACACATGATCCAAATTTTGAAATAATCTAATTACGTATTGGTTAATTATCCATGAATATATAATTTGGGTGAAATAAGGGTATTTTTGGGCATAATTTTTTAATAATTAACCAAAATTATTTCGAAATTGCATGAAAATTAATTTATTCGTACCTCATTAAATGAAGTAATAAAGCAAAAAGAAACAGTGAAATAAAAAAATTTTTAGTAGCTCTTTATATACACATACATATACTCACTACACACGCATACACACTGAATAGTTATATTATTCTCATTATTATATAGAAAAAATATCTCTACGGGTAATGTATACAATAACCCTTGAAGATAAATCTAGTGTTTATTGCGCGTGTGTATAACCTATGTTGTTCTCCATATTAAATATGTGTATGCACGCTCATGTCATGTATGAATTGTGCTTTCAATTATGCGTAGGAAGATCTATTTGTTAGTCTATAAAATACTTATAAAATATTAATAAACAAAAAATAAAACATTAATTAATTTCAGTAAATAGGCTGATTTCATAAAAAAAAGAAAACAGAAGATACATTACAAAAATTATGCATGTGTATCTCTAATTTTGTCAGGTAACAATCATAAATGTACAAAACGCTTTATATTACTTTGTATTAACTATATGAGAAATATAAACTTCTTCTTTATTAACTTAAGGAAAGAAAAAATATACTAAAATTTGACATTTCACGCATATTCTACAAAAAAAAATAAATCATTTCTATAAACAATTAATTTTTTTTGAGTATTCATTAAAATTAGTCTTGGGCAATATTTAATTCAATTAATGATTCAAGTTTTACTTACATCAATATTAATCATATGACATTATTAGTTTAGGATGAAATATTGCCCAACAAGAAGTATTAAAGTAATATATATATAAATATATTTAACAATCACATCTTGAGTCTAAAAATCTTTCAGTAAATCTCTTGTTAATAATCTTCATTTAGCGATAAGAAAACTTTGATCACTCTGCCTACGATGCTGATATGTCAATGGCGCAACTAATCGACTATCTTTTCTTTTGTAATATTCATTAAAATCTAGTCGTACGCTGAGTAATTGTAAAGAAACATCTTCTGCTGAGGCAAGCATTAGTAGAAATTTTTTCACTCTATCCTACAAATTAAAAAACATATTATGTTTAAATAAAACACTTGCAGTATATGTGAATAACGAACAATATATGATACTATAAAAGTAATCACAATTTCCTCAATCTATGGTATATTTTATAATTGTAGATTATTACCTGATAAGTTCTGTACAATAATCTTAGTTGAATAGAAAGAGTATTCAAATATTTTAAAAATGCTGTTTGTCGTTCTTTGGTATCTATATCACTTGCGGTACTTCGTCCCCATGACTTTGATTTTTCACTTATGACTTGTGTAAAATTTTCAGTAGATAACTTAGCTTCGTGTTCTTGAGTAGCACGTATAAGAAATGTTTCTACAAGATTTTGTAAATCTAGAATTGGACTATACACAGAACGTAGATGATCCATTAATTCCTAATACACATAATATACATATATATATATATATATTTTTAGATTATTTTAATTATATAATTTATTTATATTGAAATAGAATCAAATAATTACTTGAGATTTTTCGTCTAATAAGATACCACGTCTTACTGCATCTACGAATTGATTATGAGCAACTATTATTTCATCAAGTGACGATGCTTGTCCAAGTTGTTTATTGAATGCATCCCAAGAACACTCAATTACCTAAAATATTATATTTATATGATAATATAACTAATGATTAAATTTCCATTCAGTTTAAAATCTTTTACATGTATATATGTTACCGGAAAAGTGGGAAATTCGACATTGCCCACAATACATAGCGTTTTTAGGCAACGTAGGAAACAAAAGAATTATTACGGACTTATTGGGCAACAAACACACAAACACATAAAAGAGAGCATGGAGCGGGTTTTTGAGACTGTACGTACCGCTATACTATGCGCTATACTATACTATGTTATGTATGTTGTCTGTTGCTAGATAAGATAACAATTCTTCTGTTTCCTTCGTTGTTCGCTGTTCCACTTTTCCGGTAACATATATATATATATATATACAAGATTATAACAGGTACATTATAAAAAAAAAGTTAGTTTTACCTCAAATAAAAAATAATATTGCAATTGATGAACCAAATGAACCATACTGCTTGTAATAAGATGAATTTGATTTTGAATTGGCAAAATTTCGGGCATTTTTCGAAATATTTTAGCCGACGTAATTTGTTGCTTCCATATTGCGGATAATATTGATTCCATTCGTTTAGCTCTCCATAATGCAAAAAATACTGTTTGATAAGTCTGACTACATGGCTCAAAAATCTGGATTAAAAGTAATGTAAGTGTACAATATATCTTTATAAGTTAATTATTTAAAAATATATGATATATTCTCATTTTTGATAAATAATGATTACTTACAGTCCCTATAGGTCCATCAACATTGTAATCCAATATAAATATATCCCATCCCGTTTCATTATCCGAAGGTCCTAATAATCTGACATCTAAACGTCTTTGTACATCTACATCCTCTAAATTTGTACTTGTTGCTCTTATAGCTGTTTCCAATATAGATGATATGTTATGTGGATATAAAGAATTTGCTGGCTTGGCTAATTCCGGTCTAAAAAAATTATTTTTTTAAATTTTCTTAAATGAAAATTTTAATTATGATAAAAGATATATTAGAAAAATATTATTTTAAAATCAAATAAATGTTATTACTCTAATAAATGCATGAGGTGTTGAATAAAGTGTCCTTGGCCAAGTAATAAATAGCTTTTTATTCCTTGTAAGTGATCAAGAAGGTGACATTGTTTAGTTAAAATTTCAACAACTCTTGTAGATGTTTCTTTATAAATTGCATCCATTATTGTCTGTAAACGACCATCCGGATCCATATCAAGAAATATCTCAACTGCTATAAATAAACAAACATTGTTTTAAAAAAATAAAGAATAAATGTGAAAAAATAACATGAAATAAATCAAACCATTGTATTGGTCTTCTATATTTTTAAACATTTCTGTTTCTCGATCTTGCCATGGTGAAAAGTCCTTACATACTTCGCGTAAAAAATTAATACTTTTTCCTGTTCCTAATATCATTTTTGCTTGTCCTTTAGTAATAAAAGAAGGCACCATTGCATTTCTAACTTGATATTTTTCATGCCACATTCTATCTCCAGCTACATCTGCGCATGTTTCAATAAAAAACTCATTGTACGGATCATCCAATTGTCCATCCGTGATCCATCTCATTAACATATTGTACAAAGGAACACAGACACTTTCCAAAATTCTTTTCATTAATTTCTTTGCATTTGCATCACCATGATAACTGAACTCATATATGGTTGAAGCTAGTAATCCTCCTTTTTGACCTTGACAAGCTCTGGTCACGCTTGCTAGCCATTTCAAAGTTTCCAAAGGATCGTATGCCCAAATATGTAAGTGTGAAAGTGTAATTCCATAGTAACTTAGTTGATTTTGTGCCCTAATACGAATTCAGTCATTTAAGAATTACATGACAAAAAAATTTATAAAACTTTATTACCTATTTACTTCTTCCTGCATTATAGCAATAAACTTATAATATTCAGATAATTCTTTTTGCAATACTGCAACAAAACTCTCAGCAACTCTGCCGATACCAGCAGCAGATATTCTTTCCACACTTCTACGTAAAGTGTTATACAAATATCCAAGCTCGCTCAATCTCAAAACAGCTTGCTTTTGTGAACTACTGATATTCACTACAGGGTCGATTTGAAATCCATAATTAGAGTCTAATTTTAAAAATTTCCCTTCTATACCTTGGAAGCAATATATTAAATCTTGTATCAATACATCTTCGGAAACGTATTCTTCTCTTAACATATTATTTTGATTTATAAGAGAACCACGTAAATTTGTATCCATAGTATTTATCGAAATCACTTGTCCCTGATTCCATGACAACTGAGATGGTTGTCCTAATTACAAACCATTAAACAATTGTGTGCATTAATTTACAAAATCAATTTATAAAAGATAATATAATGATCAAAGTACATATAAATTTAATTACCGCTAACAGACACAGTAGGAGTATTCAAACTAGGTTTTATGTCTGGAAGAGAAAAAAGCTTGTCCCTTCTTTGTTCGGTTGTTTGATTCAGATTAAATAAAAATACTAAAATGCTTATACGATTTCTCAAGGGCTATATAAAAATAATGATTATATAAATTAATTTATATGTATACATTTGTAAATACATTTAATATAAAAAATAGTTAAAAAAGATAATAATAAATAATAGTTCAAAGATAATAGTAACAAAGTACCAAATTTTAATTGTAAAGTGTTCAATTACCCCGGTTCTCAGATCATTGTGCAATTTGTCAAATCTTACTGCATCTTGTGACGACAATTTACTTCTTATAGAACTAGCAACCAATATTTCATCTTCCCTCAACGTTTCTATTCCTTGTATAGATGAAAATAACTCCAAGGAGAATCTCATAAATCTTCTAATAAGTTCTGTAATTGACATAAACAATTATAAAACAATTTTCTTTATAATGAACATAAATAATAAAAATTGTAATATATATATAGAGTTATTGAATTAATTTAGTTTAATATAAATATTAACATAAACATGTTAATAATGGTAATAATATATAATATAAAGAATAATAATAATATAATAACAATATTAAATTAAATGTTTGCAATATTATGGGTCTAACCTGGCTTCTGTTCCCCAAAAAATGAAATGACCATTTTTTGAACAAGTTCAGCAACATTTTCTTCTTCTGAACCATTCATTTTGAAAAAAAAGAAAAAATTAAAATTATTAAACTTTTGTAATTAACAATGTTAACAATGTAAATGTTATTTGTTTATTTGGCTTTTGAAAGATACAATCCAATTTAAGACTTCTCTCGCGCGCACAAGTACGTTATTAAAATCAAAATAATGGACTAATATGTGTTATTCCGAATTACAAAGACTAAATTTATCAAATATATTAACTATAAGAAATAAAGAAAAGAAATAACTTTGAATGAAGAGGAAAATGTATTATGATAATTTTCAAAAATAACAATTATTGAGTTTTGTGACATTTTTAAATATTACTAATATTCCCTCCACAAAAGTATTTTTAAATCAAAATCGGTAATCAAGAAATTTTTATATTTATTTGATGCAAGTTGGTAATGGTTGTTTGTATTTCCATTTAAAAAAATACGTCAGTAATATGCAATTGTACAAAATTTGTATAATATTATTTGATAGGGAATTTATGTGATTAGTAATCTTTCGTGAGTAATCTAATCAAAATAATGTAAAACGTAATATATTGGTAAAAAGTCAAAGGTCAATTATCGTAAGTAATTATTATTATGGTAGCACTGATCTGTGTGAATATCTTCAGTCTGTCATTTAAGTTTGTGAAAAACTTCATATTTGGGCAAAGGGGTTCTGGAATTTTTATCGTTACCCCGCTTAGGTAACGTAATGTTTCTTCTCTAGGTAGAATTAACAATGGATTATGCTCTATTGATCGAAGTAATAAAAAAATCATACTATTCTGCAATTGTCTAGTTTCACCAATGCATTAAGATGATATTTTGTATGAGGAATAACCTAACGTCATGTCTATATTACAAATGATGCTTCTATATAAATTTTTAATATTATTTCTCTTTTTATTTTTACAGATAATTTATATGTTAGATATACAAATTAATGTGTTCTAATGAAAATAAACATGAATTTTACTTATTTGTAAAACTCATTTAAATTCATTGATATACAAAAGCATTTCTTCAGCGTAAATTTAAATATCATGGCTTTTAGAAAAGGAAAGCGAAACTTAAAATTGCAAGTTTCTGATGAAGCTCTTACTCCAGTGTATGTAGTAATATTACTAGAAACTAAATGATATTTATAGTAAACAAACAAAAAATATCAATTTATATAGAATTTATGTTTTATTATAGGACACCTCCAAGAAACTTAGATAAAAGAACTACGATAACTATAGGTGAGAAAACATTTGTCGTTGAGGCTGATGATTTAGAAACATTGTGTATACTTGGACGTGGAGCGTATGGTGTAGTCGATAAAATGCGACATAAACAAAGTGGTACCATTATGGCAGTTAAGGTAAAGGATAATTAATAACTTATTTTCATTGATATATTTTTCTCTCTCTCCACTAAATAAGTTTTTATATTATATGATAAATAATTTAAGATAATTTATATACATTTATATATATATATATATGTGTATATATATATATATGTGTGTATATATATATATATATCATACAGAGGATAACTGCCACGGTCAACACTCAAGAACAGAAACGTTTAGTTATGGATTTGGATATTTCTATGCGTAGTTCAGCGTGTCCGTATACTGTACAATTCTATGGAGCATTGTTTAGAGAAGGCGATGTTTGGATTTGTATGGAGGTGATGGATATGAGTCTTGATAAATTTTACACTAAAATCTACAAACATGGACATTCAATTCCAGAAGATATCTTAGGAAAAGTGGCATTCGCTGTAAGGATTACAATTTCTTTAATTATTTAATCGAATGCATTTTTTACACAGTTCTTTCTATTTGTATATGTATCAAATTAATAACTTTTTAAAGAGAGTGTTAAATTGAAAATTAGTTTTGGTATGTTTGTTTTGAAACTTTTAATACTTATCAATAGGAGCTAGATATGGTATATGCAGTTTATAGCCAGTTGTTGTTAAGACAGTGCTCTCATTCACACATCCACTTCCATTGCTCCTTTTCTTAAACCTGATGTACACTGACGCTGTAATAGGATGAGCTGGCTGAGTTAATGAAACTGGATAAAGGCATGAATGAACGGGTAAAGGGATGCATTGGTGTAACCTTTACTCATTGTTAACATCACAATTGTATGCAAATTTATTGATTAAATCATTTCATCATTACCTTTTATATTTACAGGTAGTAAGCGCATTACATTACCTCTATTCACAATTAAGAGTTATACACAGAGATGTAAAGCCCAGTAATATTTTAATTAATCGAGAAGGGGAAGTTAAAATCTGTGATTTTGGAATTTCTGGTTACCTTGTCGATTCCGTTGCTAAAACTATAGATGCTGGCTGTAAACCATACATGGCTGTATGTTTCCATCTGTTATATTATTTCTATTTTATTCTTATTTAATATATTTTTTTGTACAATATATTCTTTATCATTATCTTTTTTTAGCCAGAAAGGATAGATCCGTCAGGAAACCCTTCACAGTACGACATCAGATCTGATGTCTGGTCTCTAGGAATTTCTCTTGTCGAATTAGCTACTGGGAAATTTCCTTACGAGTCCTGGGGAACACCATTCGAACAATTGAAACAAGTTGTTAAAGACGAAGCACCAAAATTACCTTCTGGCAAGTTTTCATCTAGTTTTGAGGAATTTATTAACAAATGGTAATTTAAAATAAACCTGATTACAATTATGATTCATTCAAAATCTATGCTACACCAATATACAAAATTTATTCAAACAATAACTTTTTAGCTTAATGAAGGATTACACTGCTCGTCCAAATTACAGTCAACTTCTGGAGCTTAGCTTTATTAAAGAACATGCAAAAAAAAATACTGACGTTGCTGAGTTTGTCGGACAAATTTTAGATATACCCGATCTTGAGCAGCTTGCATAGTATAAGAATTACTTATATAGAGTTTATATTGTAACTCTAATGTACATTTGTTCTTCACAATGAAGTCATTTAATTTTATTTTTTGTTGCGTCCCATTATATGAGTCAAATTATTCAAATTATCCAATTTGATTTTAAAGTAAAAAAGTAGAAAAATACAATTTCTAATTATTGAATCATTCTCTGTATACTGATTATACATTTATCGATCCATATTAAATTATACAGTAGTGGATCAAGACATGTAAATATTAACAAATATTTTCTACATAGTCTGATAATACAAATTTACAACCTTATATCAACATTGTTTTCCGCATAATTAATGGTAAATTATATTCAACCGTAATATATTCGTTTTCTAAAGCAATCTGAAATTCGTTGTACCTTCGTGACGTACATTCAACCTCTAAATAATTAATAGTACTTTGACTATAATAAAGTCGCTTGATAGAAAGAAAAAAGAAAACTCTTAGTAAATTCGTCTTCATAAATCTTTAATAGATGAACATCGTATGAATTATTTAAATTATTTCAAACGATAATTCTTAATTATAAAATACTTATTAGAATGATAAAATCAAATATATTTTTTTTTTATACATACTACATAAATAATTGTAAAATCATTAGATTTTCAATAAAATATATATATAACAGGCATACACACATAATTAGGTCGTAAATGAAAAGTTTTATTATTAAAATATAATCATTCTTACTTAATGAACTTTGTATGTAAAACATAAATTGTTAAAATTTTCAAACAAGTACATAAATTGTATATATTTATATTTTAATACAATTTGGTGTATATACACAATATAGAAGATATGTTTTATTTAAAATGTGTGAAATGTATAATGACAATGAATAAGTTTTTTATTTATTATCTAATTCCTTTTTAAAAAATAAATTAGAAAGAAAAGTTTTATATATGAAATATATTGAAAAAAATCTACATCTTTAAAATATTAATATTTTCTTTATATCGAAAATTTGATTTGAACATTTACAACAGAAATTTATATCAACATATGTACAATTTAACTTAGGACATTATTAACGTATTGTTACTTGTTCTCTTTTTTCTTATTTTCTTTAACAAAAGTCAAAAGAATATTTAGTTGATTAATTGTATCCTCTGGGCCAGTTACACGATGTCCAATGGTTAAGTCACTTTCATAAATTTCATGATCATTGCCACCGAGAGCTGTTTTATCACCAAAAAAGTGTATTTCTTCGTAGCCTTGTATGTGCCTTAAACAATATGTTTTATCCCAACCAATAGGAAAGACATCAAAAGAGATTTGTCCACCTTTTAGATTGAAAAGTAATGTATTATATAATAAATATTTTATATTAAATAAAAAATACCTAACATAATACATTAAGAATAACTTGCCTATGCTATACGTCAAAGCCAAGTTAGGAAACTCTTTTTTAAGTGCTTGTATGAACTTTTGGCGCACATGATTTTCTATGTCGTATTCATGAAATTGATTTCGCTCTTCATTTGTACAATTACGTCCTACTGGTGCAATGTTGAGCATACCAGTTCTAAATTCTATGAAAGTTCCACGTTTAAACGGTAATTTCAATTCGGATATATATTTTAAAGTGAAATTGATTAAATCTTGTAGCAAATCTTCTCCGATTATACTTTGAATAGTCTATAGGAAGATATTAAAATATCAATATAATATATAGTTGTTAACAAATAAATAATTAATGGAATACCTGCGATGGTAATAATTTGCTATCCTTATAAGCAACAAGTCCATTTTCAGCAAATATATATTTATATTTATCAAATATATTTTCACTACCAAGTTGTTCCTTGATTTTTTCCAAATCCGATCCGCTGACTATGGCAATATCAAATTCTTTTTTCAATACATTCAAGAGAAATTTTTCAACATTACTTTTTATTGGCTAGAAATAAAACATAAGCATATATTATTTATTAGAAATAAAGGAACGAAGAACAAAACAAAATGAAAGAAATATTTTTAATAATAAACAACAATACGAGGAATATTAGAAATACAATTGTCATGTAATATTATTAATATCATACTTGTCTTGGTTCAGTTAGTGTGCCATCTATATCAAATAAACAAATGATTTTTTTTGACATCTTAATAGTTTCTTCCAATAATCTGAAACATGTGTCGTGTACATGTACAAAAAATAATAATAATAAAAAGCAAAGAAAACAAATGTGATGTACAAGTAAACATTTATAAAGCGCACACGCGCGCGAATATTAGAAATGGGTAAAACATAAAGCAGAAAATGCAAAAATAACAATTATATTACAATATTAGTACAGTTAAGACAGACAAATCAATTTGTATTACCAATAATATAAATATTCCAATAAATAATATCGAAAATAAGATTTTACCGTATCCTCTACAAATAGTTCACGTCACGCTTGAAGCTCAAATCGAAATTGTTTGAAATGTTTCTTTGAAGATTTATGAGAATTTCTTTGGGTTATTTGTATTAATCTAATCACGTAATGGCGATAACATGTAGACCAATAAACTTCTTAATTTATTATCTCTTAATTTTTAAAAATATCGTAATAAAAACTTGTTTAAAGAATGTCAGTACATATGTATGGAAAGAAAAGTGTCCATGTTTTCACGTCTTTATTATATCATCACATGTTACAACATATTTCCAAAGTAGGAATTTACATGAGGTATGCATGAATATACATGAAGTTACATTTCATGAATTTCTACCAACGAAAAATGGAGTGTCATTTTTAAAAATTTACATTTAAATTAATCTAGTTTTTTAACACAACCCAGATGCATAAACTATATAATTTCATATAATTTTAGAAATAATTAATTATTCTTCGAAAATATATATTAATTTATGTGTTAATTTAAAAAATAAGAATGTGATGCTTTTGTAAGATAAGTTTGATAGTAAGGAAAAAACCTTTAATTAGAATACCTTTGAGAGGGAAGAGAAAGAAGAAGGTATAATAAGATATTTTTTAATCAAATAAAAAAATTAACGCCAATTCAAGTTTTATTTTTAAGTTTTTTTTATTGATTATTTAAATCCAATTGTTGTTCCAACAAGTTAAAATATAATAGTATATTTCACTATAATTTAATAAATATATTAACACCGCAATAATTAACAGTCAAATTGTTAAAAGTAACAAGCAACCACGCATAAATGTTAATTTATTTATTTATTTTTATTGACTTTTACAATCAGGTTACAGGAGGATATGAGATCTTTTTTTATTTTTATAGTATCTACTCGGATCGCTTGATGTCGCCACATTCGTGATAAACGTACTGCCGTCTGGAAAGTCGACCTGAAGTTTTGAATTATACTGTCAAAAAGATAAAGTAAAATGTAAAATTTGATGTTTCTTCTGCTAAAATAATTTTTATCATAAAAAAATGAGAGAAAATATGTTATTGATCTCACGTGTTATTTTTAAATGAAACGCATGTCGTCTTTTCGTCGCAATGTAAAAAATAAGTTCATAACAATGTTAACTAAAAAGTATCATTTAAGAATCAATATTCCTATATTACTTGTCACACTTTCATTTCTTTTTTTAATTGTACATTATTTATCATCTGCAAAGTGTTCATCCAACGATAAGATGATACAAGAAAAATCGAAATTTAAATTAATAATATTAATATTAACGAGTCCAGAAAATTTGGAGCAAAGGGATACTATTAGAAAAACGTGGCTTTCTGAGAAGCATGCATCAGTTAAGCATCTTTTTGCAACTGGAATATATGATATTTTACCGGAACAAAAAAATACTTTACTCTCCGAGAAACATAAATTTAATGATTTACTTTTGTTACCAAAGCTGCAAGATTCTTATGGCACGTTAACGAAGAAACTTCTTTACTCTCTAAAAGATATTAATAAGGATTACGATTTTGATTATTTACTTAAATGTGATGACGACACGTATGTTATTGTACATAAAATATTAAGGGAATTGGATAAATGGCAAAACAAAGGTACAAAGAGAGAATTGTATTGGGGCTTCTTCAATGGTAAAGCACAAGTTAAAAGAAGTGGACCGTGGAGAGAAATGGATTGGATTTTATGCGATTATTATTTGCCATATGCATTAGGCGGTGGATATCTCTTGTCGTACAATCTTATTCAGTTTATTGTTAATAATATGGAAATTCTTAAGTAAATATTTCATGAAAATGAAATATATTAGAGTACTACTAGAATAAAATATATATTATTATACTTTTTTTCAGGCTATACAATTCAGAAGATGTGTCTGTTGGATTATGGCTTGCACCATTAGCAAATATAGAAAGAAAGCATGATGTACGCTTTGATACAGAATATAGATCTCGTGGCTGTTCTAATCAATATATAGTTACGCATAAGCAAACTATACGAAATATGAGAAACATGTATGAGTATTATCAAGCTTCTGGAGCACTTTGTCCTAAAGAAATTAGAAATCGTATGAGTTATAGATATAATTGGACTGTTCCACCAAGCCAATGTTGTACTAGACAAACAGGAATTCCTTAATATAATAGTCCTATTAATATTCTTATTGCCCTATTAAGAGTTCTAGTCTTATAAAGCTATCTCTTTTACCTTTATTTTATTAATAATACACTATATACATATTATACAAAACAAAATCAACACGGTATGCGATGTTAACAATGTGTTATAAGATATGTAATTTAATACTTGATTAAAGTTTGAGACATATATTATTAGTATTTTTTAATACAATTCAGCTACTGTTATAGCAGAGAGTTGTATCTGTATATAGTTACTGTAAATACTTTGTAATAGAGAATTAGTAATTGACAATTTCTATTTATATGCGTGTAAGTGAAATATATTTTCGATACTTGCACTACTTATTTTTATTTATTTACTTGACACTACTTGTGCCATACATGCAATCTATAAAATATGAGAAACAATAGCTATATCATCATTTGTACGTACATATCAATTTCTCGGCTATATTTTTATCTTTTAATGAATATTACCTCATTTGAAATATTTTACAAAAATGGAGAGGATAAACGAATCAAAATCCTTATTTTTGCAAATCAAATATATATATAATATATTTCTTTTTTTTTTTAATACATATATATATATTGTTTTTTAATTTACTTAACAAAAAATTGTTTCTAATTAATTTCATTTACATTTATAAAATATAAAAATTGTATCTACCAAGATATAGAATATAACTTTTAATATCGTATCATAAAAAAACATTTTCATTATAAGCAAATCACAGTTGTTCAAAAAACGGCCGAAGACAAAGATGTATAATGTATAAGAATTATAGATATATATATATATATATATATCATATTCTTAGATATAAATTTATAATTACTTTCATAAACTATAGATTATAAAACAAAATAAGATAATAAAATTATGGCCGGATCTCAAACTTTCATTTTCTGCGATATATTGCATTTGAGCTCTGTGTTTTCATTACATTCAAAATTAATGAGTCGTTAGAGATTTTCTTAAATTATTTAAACTCTTCTATTTTATTATCTGAAAAAAAGAAAAATACCTAGTTTACTATCTCAGAATCATTCATCAATTTTGAATGCAATAAAAATGCAGGACTTTGCACATTATTTTTATACAAATTTCCTATTTTTTTTTATATATATAATTCTGAATTCATTTTTAATCACGATGTTATTAACTAATTTTAGAACTGATGTACGACTGGCGATGTTCTTCCTTTCTTTTGAAGTATTCAGAGAACTATAGTTCTTTACTATTTATTTCTTTTTCCTATCTTGTGAACATTTAGGGCAATACCATTTTCCTTTTGGTTTAGTAGTCAAACCAACACAGGCAAAATGAAACCATTCAATAGGACACTACAAAATAAATAAAATATAATTTATTAAATAATCGAAAGATAAGACAGAAGCAAAGGCTACTGCTTATTATTAATATTAGGATAGATTTTAACTTACATCTGGATTGTCACAGCCTATCATTTCTCCATATGATACTTGATGACATAAACAATAAGTCGGTTCATTTGGATCAACGGGCATATCCAAAACATCTGCAGAATGGCCAAGTGTATTAGAATCTACTTGAGCACCAGTTCCAACAACTCCACCTGAAGAAGCCGAAGCAACCGAGCCACCTAATAAAAAATGATGTATGAATATAAAAATCAAATATAACATTATATACATATAGACAATATATAAATACATTAAACATACCCTTCTTTTGTTTTTTCCTAGCACTTTTAGATTCATCTTCGCTACTAGCACCCGCAGTACCCTTCTTTCGTTTCTCTTTCTCTTTTAATTTTTTCCTTCCTTTTTTAGTAGAAGTACTCTCTTCCTGAGCTCTACTATTATTTAGTGCTTTATCCTGTATCTCTGCTTCAAACCTTGCAAGATCAGAATCTAATCTACGAATATGTTTATCCACAAGTTCATACGTCTGAATTGCTAATTGAACCTTATCATCGCCATATTCTTTAGCTTTATTAAATAAACTTTGAATATGAGATAATTGTTCTTTTTGCTTTTCTGTTGATTCCTTTTTTATATTCTTTAAATAATCATCTGCCAATTTATCTATCTCTTTCATAAGTCCTTGGGCTCTTGCATCCAAATCTCGCATCAATGTAAAATTTCTTTGTAATTCAATTGGTAAATGTTCTAAACCTATAGAATAAATACCGTTATTAAAATTTAAACTACTTTGTACTTTTATGTGTATATAAAAACACAAATATATTTATATATACATATCTTTTAATAATTATTTACTTAAATATTTCTCTGATACTTACTGTCCAAATAATGTTCCAAATAAAGTGCAGTAGTCATGTTTGTTTTCACGAATTAACAATACAATGTTTTTTCTTAATTAAAGGTTAATATAAACAAATTTGGGGATAATGTTTTCACATAAAATTTATGAAAAGAAATATTATAAAATCTTCACACAAGTGAATTATGTATTCGCTGTTGCGTGAATCTACAAAGCGATGTACAATCAATGTTGTCAGAAGTGAGGACCTTTCCCCACTATTTGCGATTGACTTTTCTTTCAAAAAATGTTTTTATAATTCCTTTTTAATTTTGTTTTGCTTGAATTAATTTAAGGGTCAATATAATAATTAAAATATAATATTAAATATGTTTAGTCTGTAAACCTATAAAATTTCCAATATTTTACAGGTCCTGTAAAGCTTGACTCGTGTGAAAAGGTATTAGTTTTCTAATATTAAACAAACAAATTTACATTTATAACACAAATTCTTGCAATCAACATGTGTATTATTCACTATACAATTATAGTGAAACTAAAGATAACAACCTTATTACCGAAAACATTTGTCAATAAAACGTATTTATGTGGGAATATGTGTTAAATTTTTTTTTTCTTAGATATTGTTAAAAAAATGTGATATTTGGAAAAAAATTAATAATGCATAAATATAAACTAACTTATATACTCTGATGTGTAAAATATGGTTCTGTAATATAATGTGAAAATGAATCAATTAAAATTAAGCGGTGAGGATTTTTGTTACCAAGTAGCAATTTTTCTCAGCAGTGAATAGGGAGATTTCAAGTTTTAATTTGGCAACATTGTCACAATATTATTGCACAATACTAACTATGGAACGTGTGAAACTATGGCGCGAATTTTTAAAAAGTACACTCATCACTTATATCATAACATTTTTCAATATTATGAGATCAATACAAATTTATGTACATATAATTTATATAAGACGTATTCAAAGATAATTTTAATAATACTCTATATCTTATGTTTCCAAATTGAATTACGTCATACATCAAATATATCGATATTACATCGTTCTTTATGAGAAAATAATCGATAGAATAATACAAATCTATAATTTATATTAACTGTTAATCAAAACATGATAAATAAAATGAATAAAAAATTAATAATGTTTTAAAATGAAACAAATATAAAAAAGAAAATGAGATATTCATTTGGGAACCACTGTCGAGGATATAAGATGGCTGCCTCCATTATTCGTCAGCCTAGAATAGATGAACACGTAGCTGATAATAATGGTTCATCCATGGTTCATCAATAAAGATTTAGACAAAAGTAATTGTTATTAATACGACTACTATTTGATACAAATATTGCATGATTGATATTAAGAAGCCTTTGACACTAATATATATGTATATACACGCGTATACATATATATAGAAAAGTTCTTTTATTTAAGGTATGTCAATGACATAATTCTACATTATTTTTTATTTATAAGAAAAGTTGAAATATATGATAAAAAAGTAAGGAATGATATTGTCTTTATATTTTTTCTTTTATTTATTTTTTATAGTATGTAAAATGTACATGATATTATTTACTCAAATTTTCTTAAATGTATTGATTAACAGCAAATTAAATTTCTTGTCATGCTAATAACAGGTTAGTAAAATAGAGTATATCTTAAATATGTCTCTCTCATTAGTTGAATAAATAATTATCTTATAACATAGTTTTTAACACTAATGTGTAATCAAATTTTAATTAAAATAAAGTTATTTTCTATTAATAAAACTATATATATTTATATATGTGAATTAAAAAGAATTTGAAAATTATATAAAATATAAAATATTTCAGTTTAAAATGGTCAAGTTATATGCATTGACAATTTTATACAAAAATCCAACCTCAGCCATTACGTTAAAGGCTGCTTATGATGTCGAATCATTTTCATTCTTCCAAAGAGGTAGTATAAAGGAATTTATGGGTTTTGTCAGCAAGACTATCGTCGAACGGACTCAAGTAAGTGCCAGGCAGAGCGTCAAAGAAGGAGGTAATAAATTAAAATCACAATTTTATTTGATTTATATTCTTTACTTATTAAATTTGTTTAATTCTCAATGGAAATGATTTTTTAACAGAATACATGTGCCATGTTTATGTTCGTGCGGATAACTTAGCAGGAGTTCTTATCTCGGATCATGAATATCCTAGAAGAGTTTCGCATACCTTGATTACTAAAGTTTTAGATGAGTTCTCTGTTAAATATCCACCTATGACGTGGCCAACATTAAAAGAAGTTACTACTGATTTTGCTCAAATTAATATTTATTTAGCAAAATATCAGAATCCTAACGAAGCGGATTCGCTTACAAAGATGCAAAATGATTTAGATGAAACCAAAATTATCTTAGTAAGTAAATTAAATATTAAAATTCTATCTTATGAGACAAAGCGCAAAATAATATGTTATTGTTATACAGATGTTATTTTCCTTTTATTAATCTATTGTGATTTTTTGTTTTCAGCATAATACACTTGAGGCTGTGCTCCAAAGAGGTGAAAAACTAGATGATCTAGTTTCTAAATCAGAAGGACTTAGTGCTCAATCAAAAGCATTTTATAAAACAGCAAGGAAAACAAATTCTTGTTGCAGTTTAGCCCCATAAAAAAACTCCTTTTAATGATATTTACTGATTATATTTTCTTGAATGTAGCTATTAAATTAGCCATTTTCCACCTTTAAAAAGAAGAAGAAAAAGGGAAAAAGAAGAAGAATCACTTTGAATTATGAAATCTAAATTTCGGAAGTTTAAATTAGAAAAAAAAAAACAGAAAAAGACCACTGCCGGTTGTATTAAATGATATGAAATAACTAAAGTATTTTTTCTGAATTTATTTACTTTTTTTATTTTTTTTAGTATAAACCGGTCCAATGTATTTGCTATTTAGAGTTCATTTGCCTTTTAAGAATTTTATCAAATAATTGATCCTTATTATATTTATTTGAGTTTAAACTTACCACTACATTCCGCGATACACCGTATATTTTATATATAAAATTTTTAATATTAACTTTTAGATTAACAAAACCGGAATAACATATAGAATAACAAATAAATATTATTATATGGTCACTGTTTGAGCAAAATCTATTTGATATGTACCTGTTTATATATTCTGATTTTAATTAATGTTTTTCATTAAAAAACGAAATTATTAATATACTCTATATTATATATAATAATAATTATAAATGTTTGAATGTGTACGTTATGTATAAATATGCATAGAATAGTGCAAATATGTTAATATTTTTCATATGAGAGTTATTGCTGATAAAATAATTCGCGTCTTATGATTATGACAGCAACAAAAAATATTACTGCACAATTAAAGGTACAATTTTTTGTTCATGTATATGTGAATGTACGATTTATTTGTATTACAGATATTCAATGGAATTTTATGAGCAATATATATGTACAGAAAAAGATAGAGAGGAAGAGAGAGAGAGAAAGATGAAGAAATTCATTTATTTTATATGCGTGTATGTATGTATGCATGCATGCATGCATATGTAATGTAATAAGAATAAATTGTAATAACATCATATAATTTTACAATACATATTTTTATATTTAACATACATACTTATGTATGTTATATATAAATATACATAAGAATATTTATATGTTTGTAAATATATATAAATTATAATAACTCTCTCTTTCTCTCTCTTTTTCTCTCTGGCTAAAATAAAAATTATAATAATTGCAATCAAGTATTATTTAAACGCAAGGACAAAGTATAAGTTTGTAGATATTTATTTTCATATTTAAGCTCATATTCAAGCTCATTTTATAGATCACTAACTATTTCATTCGGTTTTTTACTACAAACAATTGACATAGGTATATATCTAATTTAAAATAATTATTTTCATTTATATGTCTACACTTATTTAGCCACTTACAGATCCTTATTGGATATCACAACAGGTATATAAGGAGCACATTCAAAGTTGGTCTTCCATAAAACTTTGTCACCCATACTAGGATTATATCCTTCTGCATATTCACCACCAGGGGACTACAAAAAAAGAAATAATTTAATCATTATAAAAAAATTATATTTTTACAAAAAAAGAGTTAAGAAGTGTTATGCAACGAAATGAATAATTTTCTACATTAAAATGTCGTACAAGTTAGTAAAATTATTATCTTTTATATAATTTGATTATGATATAACATTTTGAAAAATATTTATTAGATAGATGTAATAAGTTATATATTTACCGAGTCTATTAAATCATTTAGTCTTTCTACATCTTCACCCTCAAAAAACATTTCGGGAAATTCATTAAGTGATCGTGCAGATTCTGCTAAGATATAAGGTCTGTTGACATGATCATAAAACAGTCTTTTCTCTTCCAAATCAGCTAGATTTAAAAACAGCCAATCTTTTTCTCTGTCTGGATTTTTGACATCAAACCCGAAATCTATCTTTTCTATATCGTCAACTACATCATCAATATTACCACCATTTGTCCAATCATACATTAATAAATATGAATGATCAGAGATATTTGGTAAATATTGTTCTTTATATGTAGTTTCTATATCGGTAAGATATTTTGTTGTTAAAACTTCTGAATTTACTTCGTAAGGTAAAGCTCTTTTCTGTATTTTTTCCTTTATAATATCAAGGTAAATTTAATTATAAGACATATTAGTATTTTATAAAAAAATATATCTAATACTGAATTAGAAGTTAAATAAATTATTTAAATATATAAATGATAATATATTTACCTTAACAACATCGACTGGAATGTCCAAATAAATAACCAAATTAGGTTTCTTACAGGTGTCAATAGTTGACTCTACAACCTTTTTGTAGCAACGACGACATTCACGATTAATATATCCCGATTTGTACATAGCTTCCATAAATACAAAATCAGAATATACACAACGATTAAGCACTACCCCTTCTCCGGTTGATAGCAAATGTAACAATGATTCTAAATAAGCATTTAATTTTAATAAATAATAGGTAATTTGAAATGCTGCTATATTAGGGTGCTTTGGATTAGTTAAAAAGGTTTTCTCATCAATGAATCTTAATCTTTTTGGTAATTGCGGATTGTACGATCTCAAATCAAAACCATAAGCATTTTTATATATTAAATCAAATGACGGAGCTGGCATATATCCCATCTCAAGCTCTTTTGCTAATTCTCTAGCAAATTTATCTTTTCCAGCAGCAATAGGCCCTTCGACAACAATAATTTTACTGTTTTCATCGTATCTTTCTATAGTGGGCTCAAATAAGTGAAAGGGTGTATATCTTTTCTTTCGATAGGGAAAATGTGGTGGTCGAATACGTTGGATTCGATTAAGTTTTCCACTAATATGTGCTACCTGTACCCCATTAATGGTTTTTGGTATCTATGATTAAAATCATTAATTATTAGGTCACAATCATTGAGAATATATAGTTCGGTTAGAATAAAACAAGCAATATGAATACAATTTCAATTCTAAGTATAACAATTTCTAAATATGGTCATTGAGAAAAATACAATCATCTCTAACATACATATATGTATATTATACTATTCTATTCTAATAGATAAAAAAATGAATATCTTTTAAAGAGACTAACCTTATATAATCGATTAAATAAACCACTTAACGAATGTTTACCAATGCATGCACGCAAAGCCATTGTTTAAATGTATGGTAATAGAATAATACAATAGTAAATAATTGTATTTTAGATACACAAAGAGTAATCAAACATTTTCTCTCATTTAATTCTTTTTAAACAGTACACCAGATCAACCATACGTTCTTCTTTATGACATTAACTTGATCGAAGGAAGACCTCAATAAGTAGCGCTATTATAAAATCGTATTTACGATAAATCAAGTCACAATAATAAACATATTCTTTAAGTTTTATATTATTAAATAATCCTAATCGAGAGAAAACGATGTGACTATTGTCACAGATCATAAATTAAATATGTCCAAAATAATAACATATTATTCAAAAGAATTTAAATGTTGCGCTTAAATTTTATTTTATATAAAATATTGCAGATGGCGTTTGCTTCGATAAGAAAACGTATAACAAGTTAGCCTATCTTTTGAGACAATATTGCCCTGTCCCACCGTTTTTAGTTTATCATTCTGAGAACGAAGCTATTCCGTGATTCAGAGCTTTGTTCATTCAGTATTAATAATTTCATCGTTTTTATAATCTTTTGTAAAAAGCAATTAGTGAAATTTTATAATTAAATTAGATAAAATAGAACTATGAACAAACCTTTTATTATAACCGCTGGTTTTGAAAAAGATTGTGCAACATTAATCGAACGTTTTAATAAAGCAAGCGATATAAGATTTAAAAGTTTTTGTGATATTTGGAAAGATTCCAAATTTAGTTTAATATTTAAGTAAGTTCAAATGAATTTTTTGTAATTTAAAAAATAGATATATCATATTTTAATATATATTTGGTACATTAACAAGAATATATATTTAATTAATCTATAAATTCTTTTTACAGAGGAAAAGAACGTATGGTTGAATTAATAGAGTTTTGTGAGGAGACATTACATTTAGTTAAAAAATATTTGTTTTTTGGTACATTCAAAGATCGCATTTGTGGATTATACCTCTTATATGGAATATATTTTAAAATGCCATGTTGTCAATTTAAAATTAGGATTACACAAAGAGAATGGCAAATGATCTTGGAATTGCACAATGAAATTAGGGAGGGAGAACATCATGATGCCAATTACATATTAAGCAAACTTATTGTCAATAATGCTTTTATACATTGTCTTTTTGAACAAGAGGTATATATACACATAAATGAATGTGGTTTTAAAAAAATCAAATTTGTTAAGCCTAAGTTATGTACTTATAGCTTATTAATTATTTCTTATTTATAGATTAGTTTTGAAAAAAGCCTTAGAAAGAAATATTGTTATCACAATAATTATTCAGTTTCATCGGCTATTACAGATGTTGTTGAAAAAGATCTGATATTTGAAAAAATAAATAAACTTAGCAAAGCTTATCAACAGAAGAAATCCGAAGCAATTTGCGATAATAAAAATAGTTCAAGTTTAAATTTATTTAATTCTAAGGTTGCTTCTGAAATTGTAGATGAAATTTATAATTTAACTAGAAATAAACAATATGATAAAGAAATGGATCAAAGTGAAGCTTAAAAAAGATATAACTGAATATAAAGATCTTTGCAAAGTGACCTACTTAATTAACCGTGTGAGTTTATATTATTATTTTATTATTTATATCTTTCATTATTTTTTATTTTATTATTTTAGTCAGAAATGATTCTTATTTTACTCTCTCTTTTTAAATGATCTTAGAAATAATTTATTATCATATATATGTGTGTGTGTGTGTGTGTGTGTGTGTGTGCCCATAATTATGAAAATGGTCTAAATCAAAATTAAAAAAAAAAATAGAGTTTATTAGTTATTTCAAATTATATTATTTTAAACTAATTATTTCAATATAATTTTTACAATATTGTCAAAAATGAACTGTTAGATAGTGCTTATTATTTCAACATTATATGAAATTCATTTAGTTTTCAAATGTAATCCTTTAAATATCTTGAAACAAGAAATATATGATTTACATTAAATCATTTTTCATAATTATATATACATATATATCATTTATTAAAACAAGACACACACAATATGTAGACTTTTATACATTTATTAATAAGCACACAAAATACCAGTAAAGAACATAACTCACAGAAAATCCTTAATTATTATAAATTTAACAATTTTTTGTGGTTTCTGCTTGAATATTACAAAATTTCATATTTTAAAAAAATAATCTCTCATACGCTATTGTCTTTGGACATTAAAGCAATTAAATTAAATTCCTAAACATATATTGGGAATGCAATTCATGTAAATTTTTAAACTTATAAAAATCGATAACTTTTGGTCTTTTTAGTTTGATCTTTTTTTATAGAATTATTATAATTGTATACACAAATATACATACACACATATAAGATGTATATACATAGTTTGCGTATATAAAAAAGTGCATTGCTTTTTTATTATAAAATCTCTTTCAATGTTGTCATTTGTTGAAAACTGCTTTGAACGATAAATATATTCAATTGTTGACTATGCCTCTTACACTTGCTCTAATGCACATATACACATACTTTTAATTAAAAAAAATAATCTTATGGCAATATCTAATTGATATTTGAACTTTTCAGTAGACTTTCAACTGGTCATTGTCGTCAAATCCAGCACTGTGTCCTGCATTGCGTACAATAAAACTTGTTCCATCATAATGCATGCGCCGTTCTCCTCGACGTACAAATAAATGAGATGTTTGGCCCAATGATGCTGTGCAATGTAAAAAAGGTGTTGTCAGGGACGCTGTTCCATTGCTAGGCGACGTTCGTAGTTGATATTTATTGCTGTTACGTGCAATCCTGTTAAATATTATAATAAATTTATTACTGAGGTAAGTTATTTTTATTCTTTATTATTATATATATAATAGAAATACCTGACAAGACCATCTGGGGTCTGGGAAATTCTAACATTGTTGATGATCCAGTTTTCAACACCTTCATCCGTCATCCAATATTGAGTAGCTCCAAGTGCTGTTACTGCTTCTTGCAAGCATGACGATCCGTGTCGCGAGCCAGAGTAAAAAACACTTAAGGAAAAGTCCTAAAATGGTGTCGAAATGAAGTGTAATCGGATGTAATTACAATCTTTACTTGTTTACAAGATCGTTAATCTATTATACTTGACTCATATCTGAAAACGAGTCAGTAGTAGTTCTGGTTCCTGCTGCATCCACTAAATATACAAGAGCACATTGTTCACAGGTAAAACTAACACCCTTGTACCACATCTTCGCGTATCTAACAATATAGGTGGAAATAAAAATTTGATTATAATGTACTTTTCTTTTTATAATTTTTTAGATATAACTAACTTATTATTTCCATGGGTATCGTGAGCTAGAATTTCAACGCGCGATCCATATTGATATATTCTTCCATTTGGATGTAATAATGCAGCAGCAGCTCCAGAACAGCTTAACGAAAGTACAATATTATTCTGCACTGACAAAAAAATATATTTAAGTATTCTATGAATACTCTTTTCCATTATCACCATAATATCATTATGATACAGTGTTAATGTAAGGATAATTATAGAATTACGAAATATATACATGCAGGAGAATCATAAAATGAGGGTTGTGATTTAAGATAAGGATAAAACAATGGATACACCTTAAAATTGATCACTCTTACAGCACGATCCACTGTCATGTCAACTCTAATCCTATTGCGAAGTCTCAAAGAAATGGTGCCATGTGGTGTTGCAATAGCACCTCCTGCACTCGCATCGGTGCTTTCATGTTCTCTCCAATTTTCCGTATAAACGCAGGCTTCCTCAGCTGTGTAATATGGAGTAGCTATTGATTTTGGAGTCCTTGGCTGTCTCCAAATAGCTGCTGAACTCGAATAAGTGGTTGCTCCTGTTATACCATTCCATTGATCTGCTGGTGGTGTTTCAAAGTACTTGGAAAATTCACTATACCGCTGAAAGCCGTATACCATTTGTTGGACAATTAAAAAATAGGAAACATGAAAATATGTATTAAATGTATTTATTGTATACTTGAAAATTAGTGTTCTCAGTTTGTGGATGATAACTGTGTGCTGTATAAAGTGATCGTGGTCGCATTGGCGTTACAGGTGCGCTTTGGCTTTGAATCGTTGCCATAGAACAGGCTGGTAATAGAGTTGTTCCTTGTGGTCCTGCCGAAGCAACACCTTTTTGCATATCCTTACGAAATTCGCCGCAGGGATTTGCCATGACTTTTACCTATTATTATTATTATAATATCGTTTTATTTCGATGAGATATTAAAATTAAAAAACCTATTAAGATAATAAATTGTAGATAAACCTTGGAATCGTTGGTAAGACTTTTCGCTTTTTTGCGACGAGCTTTTCGGGGTTTGGACACCGCCGTTGGACCTCCTTTGTTTATGTGATCCACGGTTGAAGCAATTTTTTCCTGATCTCAAAACTTGGCGTACACTTTTTTGAAATCTTCGAGCGTGTCCTCTTTTTATCTAAATCTATGTTTTGTTAACGTGAAACCTCATCTAAGAACTATCATTTATTATTCCCTTCTTTTCAATAAGATTTTCTTCTGGATCAAGGAAAAAAATAGGAAAGCAAGTCAGACAAACATTACTCGAAACTGATGATAGATAATATTCCAAAGAGAGTTCATTTTGATGAAACAAATGATAAATTTGATTGTCCGTTGCCCTTGACGATCACGAAATTGACCAGAGATGAAACTTCGTTTATATTTTTTAGAAGCGTTGCATTATTCGTATGTTCCGTAGGCAGCTTATTATTCTAGTTGGCCTGTTACACTTTTATCATAGTATAGTAATATCAATATTCAATCATTTTCAATCTTTTTTCATTAGAATAGTGATATCAATTCGAGATGCAAAGATATATATATGAAAGTCGATTTTTTATTAAAGCAAAACTTATTAAAGTTCGTAGGTAACTAATTTTAATAAGTTTTTATATTGTAACATGAATTTTTAATTACATTTTTATATTATAAATCATATATAGTAAAATATTACTTATCTTGTGTTATACACCTACAATATAATTATTATAAATGTATTTAACTTATAGTAAGTTTTTTAATTAAAGAAGTAGAAAGAAACCTGTGTTTTGCGTCAATTATTATCTATGCAAATATTTTTTCTTCTCGACGTTTTTTAGTAACCACTGTGCCTGGCTTATGTTGAGCATCCGGATGATTAAGTAATTCTGGTGGACACGTTGATATTGGACTTGCAAGAATTGTTTGTTTTAAATCATAGAATAGATGGCTGTCGTCTTTTGTACAGAAAGAAATAGCAAGACCTGCTTTACCAGCACGTCCTGTTCTACCAATACGATGCGTATAATCTATAAAAGAATACAATTAATTATATTAGTAAATGTAAACATTGCCAATTATAATTTGCCATTGATATCTTATTAACATACCTTCAATAGTTTTGGCCATATCGTAATTAATAACCATAGATACATCTTTAATATCAATACCACGTCCAGCAACATCGGTAGCAACCAAAATATCTTTACTACCACTTTTAAGAGATGCAAGAGCGTATTCTCTTTGTTCTTGGCCTTTACCACCGTGAAGAGTACATGCGTTATACTAAAAATAAAATATTTTTATCACGTAATTGTATGTATATATATATATATATATATATGCATGTAATAAATCATTATATTTTACCCCAAGTTTTTCCAATCCTCTAGCAAGTACATCAGCACCCTTCTTTTGATTAACGAATATAATAACGGGTGGCTCGACACCTCTGCTAAGTATTTCCATAAGTTTCTTGCGCTTATCAGCTTCACCCATTATGTGAACTATTTGTTCAGTTCGTTCTGTAGGTTTACCAACGCTACCGATGTAGACTACAGCAGGACGTCTTAAATAAGTTCTAGCCAAACGTTCCACTGCTGGAGGCATAGTAGCTGTAAACATCACAGTCTAGAAAATATTTAAAAACAAAAAATTAAAAATGTCTTAAAAAAGACAATTCATGAATATTATTTTATCGTAATATATTGATGTATCAATCAATCACCTGTCTGTATTTTTTCTTTGTATTGTAATTAGCTAAAAGTTTTTCTTCATTCTCAGCGTCTTCATTATCTGGTTTTAAATTTGTTACTGGCATATATTCCAAAATTTTCTGAACATCTATAGAAATAAATGTAATTATTATTTTCCATATCAATATTTTCAGTAAATAATTAATATTTTAATATATAAATTACCTGGTTCAAAACCCATGTCTATCATTCTGTCAGCTTCATCCAATACAATATATGTACATTGATTTAAAACTAAATATCGATTTTCTAAGACATCTATCAATCTTCCAGGAGTGGCGATAACAATCTAGAATGAAAAAAAAATCTTTGAAGATAATTTAGATTAAAATTAAATTTTTTTAATAATTTATCTCTTTTTACCTCACATCCCATACGTAGTCTAAATCCTTGTTCTTCTCTAGACAAACCACCCACTACTACAACAGTCCTAATGCCTAAGGGTTGTCCAAATTTGTTAGTTTCTTCTTCAATTTGTTGTGCTAATTCACTAATAAAAATAAAAGAAATTTAATAATACTCTATATTCTTTGAATATATATTTGTGTCCATGTAATAGAAAATATTTTTGTGGATTTACATACCGAGTTGGTGCCAGAATTATACTGTAAGGTCCTTGATCGGCTTCTTCTAATCTTTCAATTTTAGGCAAACTAGTAATCCATAATAAAAGAGGAATTAAAAATGCCAATGTTTTTCCAGAACCAGTTTCAGCAACACCTATAATATCACGATTTTGGAGACCTATGGGAATAGCTTGTCTTTGAATAGGCGTTAGATCCTTATATCCCACTTTATCAATAATATCTAAAATTTCTTTCGGGAATCCAGATTCTTTCCATGATCTGATAGGATCAGGAATACGTCCTCCTTTGATGGTAATGTTATAATCCTCTCTAAATATACGCCAATCTCTTTCGGTCATTTCATTAAGAGCCTTCTCAGACCAATGACGATCATCCCACTTTTGTTTCTCTTCTTTCCTTTTCACTTTTTTCAGTCTCATTCTATAAAATAAAAAATATTTTGTTATGGTATAACTTTGAAAGCTACAGTATAATCGATTAAATGAATATACTTACTTTTCTTGTTCTTTCTCAGCTTCTGTACGTCTTTTTTCTAACAGTTCACCATAAAATTTGCTTTGATCTCGTTTCTGAGCTTTAATATCAATACCTGCGAGATTACCCCTTCCGAAAAATTGTACCTGATGTCTTTCTTTGTATATACTGTTGTAATCAACTGATGTATCCTCCGATGTATCCCAATCAAACACAAATTTTCTATCATTCAATCTTCTTACACGTCGTTTCTTCTTTACAAGACCGAGATAACGTTCTTTAATAGCTTCCACTTCTTTCTCTTTATCTTTATCTTTTATTTCTTCTTCTCGTGAACGTTGAGTATCTCTACGTCTATTAAAAAGAAAAGAAAGTCAGCTTTTAATATAACATAAAATGTTAATAAACTTACCGTTCTCTATCATCCCATTCTCTTTCCTTGTTTTCACCACCGGAGAAAAATGCTTTTCGTTCTTCCTCCTGTTGCTTCTTTATAGCTTCTACTTCCTGTTGACGTTTTTCTAATGCCAAAGCTACGCGTTCTTCTTTAGTTAAAAATTTAGGCTTGGCACGTGCTTCTTCCTCTGCTTTTTTTTTAGCCAATAACTCTTCCAAACTCAGTGGTTCTCTTTTCTGTGCTGATTTAGATTTCTCATCGGTTTCTTCTTCTTCCTTTTTAACATCATTTTTGACTTCTTTCTTTGCTTCTTCTTCAACAGAAAATATTGGACTTCCCTTACGTTTCTTATCATCTTTTCCCTTATCTTTAGCATCCCGTCTGTCCCTAGATCTATCACGATCTTTCTCACGAGATCTATCTCTTTCTCTGGAACGTTCGCGATCTCTGTCCCGTGATCTATCACGTTCACGTGAACGTTCCCTAGATCTCGAACGTTTCCTATCCTTTTTTCGATCTTTCGAACGGCTCCTGGAACGACGTCGATCACGACGTTCTCTTTCTCTTTCACGTTCACGTTCTCTTTCACGAGATCTGCTACGTCTAACTGTTTTCTTATCGTGTGCCATCCTTACACTTACTGTAAAGGGAGAGAAAGAGAATATTAATACTGTTTAAATTATTTAAGGTTAAGTTTCTCAGTAATTGCTACTATTACTCAACTCTCTCTCTCTCTCTCTCTCTCTCTCTCTCTCTTTTAGATAGAATTAAAATTATATAATTAAGAAATTAATTTCTATCAATAGTTCTCTCAATTCTCTTTTAGAAAACTTTTATATATATTAAACATTATTATACATATATGTAGCAAACACCATAATAAACAAAAAGAAACCATATTTTTGTAAAGAATCTTATAAAAATATATTTATTATCATTCTTTACAAAATACTAACCTATATAAAGAAATTTTTTATATTAATGCTTCGAGATTTATAAATAATTTTACAACTAAATGTAATAATATATATATATATATATGTATTTGTATTTATAAAAAAAATTATTTAAACCATGATATATGATATTGCGTAGAATTCCAACAACGATTAAAAATTTGTTTACATCGGCACTACCTGGTGTGAACACTACATAAACTCGTATTTAAAAAGTCGATATTAGTTTTCTAATCCTAATCGATCTTGGTGTTGACTTTTTTAAATTTCTATGAACAAAATTAACATTTTGACTGTTAATTATAATCGACATATAATTATCATCATATATTTTAAACATCTCTTTGGATGTATGTATGGATGTATAAATAATATCAAACTTTTATCTGCAATATCGAGATTTATTTATTTTTCAGTCATTAACCTTATGCAATGTGCGACGAGTGCATCATGAAAATTTTTCAACGTATCTGACGCAGTTGGCGACGTGGTCGCATAAGATTGAAAAAAACGGAAAAAATAAGAAGAAGTAAGGAAAAGAGAAAGAAAAAAAAAACAAAATTAGCATCGATGGTTTGCGTCTATATATGCTTTGCGATTAAAGCTCTTAAAATGTGACCTTATTCTTAACTTATATGTACGTATCTACATACATATGCATTGTGGTGAATTGGTTATTATCAGATCACATGACCAACAGTAGATATATATGTTAATATATAACGGGTACTGTGGCTCTATAATAGATTTTGTTAATAAATCATATTTTAGACACTTTGAATTATTTTCATTTTGTAACCAAAAAAGGAATACCAAATCAAGAATTAAAATAAAGAAATGATGAGTATGGCTAATAAATAATAAGTCAAAGTCAGTGTATGATATTGGTATGACTCTACATACATGATATGATTGATTCCTTGAAAGGAGGTTGGGACAGCTGATTGAAAGAAAAGCCACAATAAGTTTAATTTTTTTTCTCTCCTCTTTTTTCGTTTAAATCATAATAAACGCTTGAAAGCATGGCTGGATTTGTTTTAAGGGTTAAAACAAAGTCAGGACAGAAAGTTGTAAATGGGCTTGTCCCACAGGATAAAGTAGCTGCATTGAAATCGAAGCTAGCCGATGTGACAGGTATTTCTGTCGATGCTCTTCACGTTCTTGGTGGTTTTCCACCTAAAGCGATCAATCTTGACAATGGATCGGCTACTATTATGGACAGTGGTATAGTTTCTGGCGATACTCTGATTATTGAAGAAAAACAAGTTATTAATGGCGCTCAAATAGAAACTGAAATTGGTAGATCTCATATTGTTAATGATGAAACTTTCCTTAATACACCTGGTGTTCTTATGAAAATGGTTGTACCAGCAGATAATTCATGTTTATTCACTAGTGTTGGCTATGTTCTTAATGGTATGTTATACTCTTAGAATACATTATTAAATTATAGATTTATTATAGTTGTACACGCTTAACGTTTATTTAAATCAGATATATATTTTGTTATATAGGAAAAGTTGATAGTAGTTGTTCAAGTTTTATGAGAGAAATCATCGCTAATACCGTCGCCTCAGATATAGAGGAATATTCTGAAGCTTTTTTGGGTAGACCTAATGCAGAATATTGCAAGTGGATTTTAAAGTCAGATTCGTGGGGAGGAGCAATAGAATTATCTATACTGTCGAAATTTTATGGATTGGAGATAGCTGTAATTGATAGTATCAATGCTATTATAAACAGGTTTGGAGAAGATCAACATTACGCTCAAAGAGTATTTCTTATATTTGATGGAATACATTATGACCCGCTTTACTTGGAACCACTTGATGTGAGTTATAGATAATAGATAAGAAATGTAGATAATAAATAAATTTTATTACATTAATTTTAGTTATATGTTAAAGCAGATTTATTAACAGCTTATTTATTAAAAATAATTTATTTTTTTCTAGGGTGGTTCCATTCAAACGATTTTTTCAACAGAAGATGATAGAATGTTGTTAGAAGCTGCAGAGCTTGCAAGAGAAGTGAAGTCTAGTCGCCAATATACAGACATTCAAAAATTTAAATTAATGTGCTATGTTTGCAATATTAAATTAAATGGACCAGTCGCAGCACGACAACATGCCAGTGAAACAGGTCACAAGAGCTTTGGAGAAGTGCCTGTATAATGTAGTTTCAATTTGATCATCTAATATATGATAAGTATTTTTAATCAGACTGCTATATATAAGGCGTTCGATAAATTAGTCTCAATTAGTCTGATTTTGTCACTTGATCAAGGCTTAAAAACATTTTAAAACTATACACCAATACTTCTCCTGTCCTAAGTATGCATATATACAATGCACTCTCTAATAGAATTTTATAAACAAATAATTATATGCTGGTTTTTTATTTAATCGAAACAAATTTTTTTTCATCAATAACCATACGTAACAATTCAATCTTTTATGTGCGCGCATGTGTTTTATTTTCTTATATATAATAAAATCATTATAAATAAAATCATGCATATTATATTTTTAAACAAAAAAGTCTATTTATACATATTTTTAAAAAACTCCATTTATATGTATTTAAAAAAAAAAATGTATACGTTTTTTATTATCCTATTTTTCTTAAAGTTAGGAAATTTCCACGTTTCGTATTTAATTCAATTCTTTGATAGAATGTTTGGCAGTATTGTTATTAAAGAAGGAGAGTGAGATATATTATTTTATTATAAAATTAGATATGTTAATACCATCTATATTTCAAAATGACTGAAATTATAGACTTTTTAATTTCATTTATAATATGTGGGAGTGTACAATACCGGGGGAAAAATTGCATTCATTATCTTTCGCGCGCGCGCGTTTATTAGAGTAAATAATATTTTTTTTAAACATAAGTAAAAAGCATAGCTTAATTGTATTCACATACACACACATATATTATACTATTAAAATATATTTTATATCTTTCTTATATATCTAGCATCTTTAGATTAAGAATTTGTGATTATCCTTAAATACGCGCGCGCGCGCGTTGTAGTAAAAATAATCAGTTTAATTAGGCCAACATGTGTTTCATGTTATTTTCATTTATAATATTTTTTTAAAAATGACAGCTGATAATAATTAGAGTCATTTTATGAAATGCATACAATAATATAATCAGTTTAATTTAACTAAGAATATTAAATATATCTCAAGCTTAACTTGTAAAAATAATACAAAGAAAGAAAAATATTATAGTTATAAATTACAAAAAATGCAGCTATATAAAGGTAATAATAATACTACTTACAAAAATAATGATTCCTCTGATGAAATTTTCATCTCCACAGGATATTTTAAATATATATATCAATAATTAAGAATCTTTAATTATAATAAGAAGAAATGGTTGTAAACAAATAATATACTAAAGCCTACTAAACCAATTTCACTTCATCTACACAAAACATATTTTGTACTAGATTATTTTGTCGAATTATAATTATTTTCACGCATAATATCAACAATTGAACAACAAAAATTATGTCCAATTGTTAGATGAAAATTAATATTTATTAATGGTATTATATAAGTTATAGTAAATTCTTTTCTCTTTTTCTTTGTCCTTAATTTTTAATAGATATGAGAATCTAAAATGCATTGAAATAGGTTTCTATATTTATTTTGTTTATTTAAAAAGATATTAAATATCTTACGATATCACTAATACAATAGATCATAATTATGTGTATATATACACACCTAGTATATTTTTTAATTGATTATATATCTAAAAACAGATAGAAAAGAATTTACAACTATTTATTACTCAGGAACTGATAGAAACATGATATATAATAGATAATTTTACACAAATTTATATTTATATGATCATATAGTACACATTTTCTCAAATCATATGTTTGTTCATTATATTATTCTCATGAAATTATTTGAAATAAAAAAGAATTATGTACATTATGTGTTCTTTCACATTAATATTTATTAATACTTTTTTATTTCTTCATAATTTAGATATTTATTTATTAAATATATTATTTATATATCAAAGAATACATTATAAGAATAAACATTTAGATATTCAAAATATTTTGTAACATTTACAGAATGATATAATGTTACAAAAATTCATTAAGAGTGTATACTAATCAAAGAAAATTATATTATACATTTATTATGCTAATCGTAATGTAGTCAATATTCAGGGTGTTTCATGCCAATTGGAACTAATTGTATTTTCTAAACGGTTAAAAATAGAAACGATAGATTAAAGATAAATGATATCAGATGATATGTTAATATTATTATATAGTGCATAAAAATATTACAACAATTGTTGTAGTCAAAAATATAAATTTTAATTAAAAATAAAAAGGTACAGTTGCATTTTTTTAATGCATATTTAGGAGATACAGAAGTTGTTTCAGTTGGCATGAGATATCCTATATATGTTATCAATTGGTCGCCATATTGTCGAAAAAGTGTCCATTTTTAAATGGACATATGACAGTTAGTTTCTTTCCGATCTCGTTTATATTGCTCACCTCAATAATTTCTTACTAAATTTACAATATTTTATATATATAATTTCATATATAATATAACACCACATATTTTTTTGTCACGCAGTTGAACCTATCATACCAAGCTATCACTACGCTATCTATATATTTGTAAACTGCATTAAAATGTGCAGGGACCTTCAACATCGCATTCCAACAGTTTACTACAACCCCTATATATTTTAGTAGGTATGTGTTGTGGGCAGATTCTTTTACTTTTTTGAAGTTATATTATGGGAAATGTATCAAGATAATAACTATAGATATGTGTGTGAAAAAATTCAATCGTATGTAGTCAATCTAATGTATGTTAATCTAAATACAATATATTCCATTTGAAAACATTTTTTGTGTGATCCTTCGCTCTTAATGTGAAATGCCTTATAAAGATTTGCAACGAAAGCATTTTGCGTAGCATGCAATTTCTAAGAAATTATCATTTTTCTTCTCGTAATTTTTTAAATAAATAAATGTGTGAATAAATATATCTCGATAAAAAAAAGTTACATCAAAATATATATCTCTGTTTAAAAGTAAAAATAAAATAGATAATTATGTAAATATTTCTTATTTATTTCGTTTAAGTAAGGGCATTTCTATATTTTATTGATAAAATAATTGTCAATATATCTGTCATCTCATTAAAGCATAAATATTTGTTTATATACTCTAAAAAAATAAGTTGAAAGGTTTTCATTTGTCAATCGATCATTGTCAATCAATTTATTTATTTAATTTTTGCATCACACATTTGTATTTTTTAATTTAATTAAATGTATGCATATGTTTTACTATAATAAATAATAAATATTGTCTTTCTTTGTTTTTGTGTAGAATACTAAAGCTAAGAAACAGCCTTTTACAATACTGTTCCCGTAATTAATTTTTATTGAAATAAACAGATGTTAATAATCTCAATATAAAATGAAGTATTCGAGCGTTCAAGTAGATGTTTACGAGGTAGATTTGCCTCAAAACCACCTCCCAGATCTTATGTATGATAACATGACGGAATCTGCTAATGAAACCATAGAATTAGTTTGTGAAAATTCTCATGAAGAAAGTTCTATGGTTTCTAATCTTCCACTTCTATTTGCTGATGGGTATCCAACTTCTTTAGAAAAAATGACATTGGTATGTTAATGTTTCATTTAGATTTAATTCTATAATAATGGAATTCAATATTAATTTGTTCTTACATTACAGACACAATTAGAAAGTTTTGTAACATTTATGATTGAGTGTTCATCAGGACATGATATTAACGAAGTTATAAATAAACCAGCATGGTGGCCTGAAGAAATAAAATTTTCTAATCCTCTAATACGACCTAAAAAGTTAACAGATGTAAGTAAGAAAACGTTTAATTATATTCGATAAATAAAATAACTATATGTAAGTTTTTAACAGAATTGGATGGCAAGTCTAAAAAAAATAGTGCTCAGATGTTATGCATATCATAAAAGTGAATATTTGTTACGTTTTTGTTCATTTCTTGCACGATATTCACACGAAGAATTAGACTATGTTAATAATTGGGATTCCACTACTAGTTTATATCACAAAAGTACTAGTAAACTCTTAGTAACATTCCGTAATGAGAATATGGTATGTATCTTTCTTTTATTTTTCACTATTCTTATTATTATTTTCGTTCATTATTATTATTTCTTTCTTTTCAGAATTATGATAAAAAGAATGAAAATCCAAGAAAAACATTACTTTTTCATAATGGAATTACATCCAATTTTGCTAATAAATCTAAACAACAAACACAGTCTTTTATGATGGTTCAACCACCTTGCGATGACATATATCTTTGCGACAACTGTGACGCAGAATTCGTTGGACTTGAAAAAATGAAGGTACAATACACTAATTAAAATATCTATAAATATATTTTTATGAATTATTATTATGAGCTTATTGTTCTAATATTTCAGGAACATGAGCTGATTTGTTGTTCACAACAATATCACGAAAGCAACAGCTCACGACCCAACACACCAGACTTCTCTGTCGTTCAACCAGAAACAGACCAAAATGAATTTTTAGAATATTTTAAATTACGTTCGAGAGAAAAAGAAGGCGAAGTAACTGTGTCGAATAAAAGTGAAGCGATTAATAATACGTGTATAGTAACTAGAACCTCGTCTCGTGTTAGAGGATCAATTAATTTAACTAAATCTCGAGCGATTCCATTTTCTTCACCTGCTGGTATGATATTAGCCAAAAAATCCAAGACAATGACTGAAGAAACACAACAAGAACGATTAGAAAGAATAGAAAGGCATGTACTTGCACCACCTGTAACAAGTTCGTGTAGACCAAAATGGTTAGATAAAGAAGATGAACGTGATAAGTGGGTTACAACATATAAATTCAGTCGAGATAAACAAATTGATTATGTACATCAATATAAGTTTGCTGATGCTTTAAAAGGAAAACCAAGTGTGTATAATGCATAAATGTTTAATGAACATGAAATGAATACATTTTAAATGACATAATTTAATTATTTCTTTTCTTCCTTTAGTTTTGGATATAAAATCGCAAATTCTATATGCTGCTTGTCGACCCGTCTTTGTTACTCTCACGAAATTAAATCAAAAACAAATAGAAGATTATAAGCAAAATTCTTTCAAACATCGAAATTCTTCTACGAGACGATCATATATAAAGGCTGGACCTGCATCCAAAACTAAATTAAAGACATTGGAAGAAGTACCAGTTAAGAAAATGATAACAGAAAAAAGTATGCCAATAACACCATCTAATACACCATTTGTTACATCTGTTAATAATTATTCTGAAAACAAATCAGTCATTAAAGACAGTACAAATGAAATAACAGAAATAACATATTCAGTAAAACAGAAATCAATTATGGTTATTGATCTTTGTTCATCCGATGAAGAAGAAATTGAGAAGACACTTAAATCTGATGAAAATCGGGACCCAATGAATTCTATACTCGCAGAAAATTCATTACCTACTTTATCACCGAATAAAGTTTGTTCAAAAGCTTGCATTTATCCTGCAAATTCAGCCAATCATTGGTTAATGCAAAGTATTTTTAGCGAAGATAATGAAAATCATGTAAACCGATGTCACATCGGTGGCGTTTTAAACACATGCATCAAAATTTCTCCTGTACTAAGACCAGCACCATAAAATATAATAGAATATTTTTATTTTAAATACGTTTTAATTAATATCAATATTTATTGTTTTTACATTATATGAAAAATATGATTAAAAAATTACTTTTTGTTATATTAACATTGACTCCATAATACTTTTTATAGCAATGATTTGAAGAGTTTATTATTACTTATAGCATTGTAGAGAATATACATTAGTAATATATTGATTTGAAATTCTTTTATCTCGTTTTATATATAAAGAAAAAAATTTTGAAAAAAGGAAAGAAAGAAAGAAAAAGTGACTTTATTATCTTTTTACAAATGCGTAACATCACAAAAAAAAACGAAAAGAAACTTGCGGTCTTTGAAAACAAAGTCTTAAAACCAATTTTTAGCGCAAGAAAGTATGAAATCTGCGAAGAATTTAGGAAATTACATAATTTCGAGATGACGGAATTATATAACTTTTTAAATATCGTAAGAGTAGTAAAGCGCGACAATTACAATAGGCAGAACACGTAGCATACATGAAGGGATAAAAGAATGACACATAGAGTATTGTTAGGAAAACTGAATAACAAAAGGTCATTAAGAAGACCTTTAATAAGAATGTTTCTAAGAAGAAACATTAAATTCTATCTAAGGAAAATCGCTCGTTTAGATACACCGTGGACAGAACTCGCGTAAAACCGAGAGGAATAACGTTCTTGTGTTGAAGTGGTAATAAAGTTTCGAGTTCGAAACGCCATATAAAAAAAAAAAATAGTATTACTTATTCTGTTTTCTATATTATACCATGATTATTTGTATATACCGATATATATATATATATATATTTAAGAATATAATTATGTTATTATCTAAGTGATTATTAAAAATGTATGTAGAATATAGTAAGCAATAATAGCGCCTGATAATGATCACGTTTTTATTAAATTTGTTCATTATTTTATTTTAATCGACGTGATTGTTTTATTTTCAAAAACTTTATATACGCTATTATTGCTTCTCCGTAAACAACTATTATTTACATAAAGGATACAATATTTACGAAGTTTTAACATGAGCAATGATAATCCTAAACATAAAAAGATTTTAAATAAATGTTAGTAAAAAGAAATGAAAGGCAATCTTTTTAGAATTATTCATTAAAAATAACATTTGAAATAACAATATTCTTTTATCGTAAGGATTGCTTAACAAATTATTAATACTTTATTTATTTTCATTAAATATATATATTTAATACATATAAAAAGAAACACAAATAACACGCACGATCTTCATTCCTTTTTTTCTTTAGATCCAAAAATCTTTTCTCTGATAAAAGAAAATACTTGATCTTTCCAATCTTTTTCAATATTTTTCAATACCAATCGCTTTGTAGATATATTATGAAGTGGTCCAAATGCTAGAGCAACTGCTGTGCATGCTAAACAAATCACGTTATATGGCATGCTAAAATCAGGGGTTGGAAGACTGATAAGTAAAGATTCTGTTCTTAATTGTACCAGATAATTATCTTGCGAGGCATTAAAGCTGAAATAAGCATTTGGTCAATTGCAATAATAATAAGTTTTGTTATATATTAGAAATAATTCCATTAAAAAAAAGAGAGAAAGAGTATATATTATAAAACATGATTAAATACATATGTACCTCAACGATATAATACTTCCATCAAGAGGTAAAGCGGTATAATTTCTTGCAATTGGTAGCAATGCTGTGATAATAGCTGGACCCATATAAAACCCATGATTTGCATCAGGTGGATATTCTTGCCATTTTAAAAATAAATATTCAATTTCTATAGAAAACTTTGTAACTGAATGAGGTGGTAGGCGTAAAATTAATTCTAAATAATATGGACTTATCCTTTCTTTTCCTGGCATGTAATGAAGTGCTACTGCAATTGTTTTTTTTCATTAAAAATATAATCAAAAGAAATATAAAAATGTATAATAATAAAAAAGTTAAAAATGTGTTTGTTAATAGTATTGTATACAACAAAATAATGATAAAGGTTTTATAATAATATTATTATTATTATTATTAATTATTATTACTAAATAAAAGAAACAATTAAAGTGTCTTACGTGGAACAACATTTTTCCCATTACATGTAATTTGAATAGTGTGCAAATAGACTGATAGATACCATGGAATGTTTTCTAATAATACAATATCAAGTGCCTGCCAGTGATTATTATAAATCTTCGTTACTAAACTACCTTTCTGTTGACCAGAACCTATTAAATATAGAATGAATAAAAGTATTATTTTATGATTTGTAATAGGGATTATAATAAATCTTTTAAAGAAAGTATCTTTAAAAATTATATCTAGAGATAATACTTATTTATCTAACAATTACTATTATAAATCATTGCGATAATTATGAATAGAAACAACAAGTATGTACCTATAATATATCTGTTTGCGTAAAGAACAGAAGGATAATTAATGACTGCAGTCTTTGTTGTACTATGTTTAACTGCAATATTAAACATCCCTTCAGCAGAATGCGATCTAATATCATATACAGCAATATTATTCTCTTGCCCTCCGCGTAAGCTTTTAAGTTTAATTGTTGGTTTAGGTGTTATTTCATAAGTATGATGCGTATTATTAATTGATATATCGACATATATGTTACTTATTATCGCAAGAGGACACGATCCTTTAATTCCTATTCCAAAAAATTTTCTTATCGACCAATCCTGTAATAACAAATATAATGGTTAATATTTTCTTGTGATTTGGTTTTTTATTGTATCTTACCTGCGTATCTATCATATTGTCATATATTAATGAAACTGTCAGTTGTAATTCTAAAAATGTATCCGTGCATGCTTTAGTAGTGCATATTGAACGAAAATGTATTCCAAGAGAATGATAATTTGTATTATGAATGTATGCGGAATTCAACAGAGTTCCTAGACCTTTCTATAAAATAGAAATCATTCTGTAAGTTTTGTTATTAATAATATCTATTACTATTATACATATACTTTAAGTCAATACCTTGGAATCACATGGTAATAATTTCTTAAACGGTGTTAAATTCTCTGTGCAAACAATTTCCCGTGGTAAGGAAGAATATCGCAAATGAGTAGAATTTGGTGTTTGTTTAACAACACCGCGAGGACGAAAAGTAAATTTTGGTGATACACTGTTAGCAAAATCAACAAAATTTAAAGAGACGCAAAGTAAACCTGACAAAGCATTAGTAAATCCTTTCCATTCTTGATCAATGCTATCAAAGAAAAAAAAATTAAAAAGTACAATTTTATAAATTAATGATAACACTTTATCTGGAGATAATATGAATATAATAAGTAAATAATTTGATTTACTTGGTAACATTTTTATTAAACCAAGCATATATCTCAGCTCCGGGACCAGCATCGTAGAAAGGATAGCCCCATTTTTTATAATTCCATAAACCTTGAGTTAAAGTAACATGAAATTCATCTATTTTATGACGTCCTATAATTTCACCTAATCCTCTGGGAAACAAATGTGTGTGATGAACTGAAATATGTATTATATTTAAATATATTTGTATAAGATTATATTTGCATGCAAAAGTGACATAAAAGAAGATAATCAAAAACTTTACATACAAGACTTTGGTGTATTTAATGATTTCCATAACGTTGTAAATTGAAAATAAGCATAAATATGACCGCTTGGTAAAGGTTTTAAAAACAATTCTTCATTGAAACAATCAGCCTGTGTACTAACGCCATTTATTATTCCTAATAAAACACTTATACCAAGTAAGAAGTATACTGTATACGATCTCATTTTTTAATAATCATTGACACTTTTAAATAAATTAATGAAACATACAATTAGAGTCAAAAGTTTTTAGAGAGAAGAGATATAAATTAATAAGTTATCTTATAAAAATCAATTAATCTTTTTTCATTACATTTTAGGTTCGTATTTAATGTGTTTAATTTTGCAATCTAGAAAAATAATTCGCCTAAAAAGTCTAATAATGCCTAATATTTATTAATCTCGTAGTTCACAGAAATGTCGATAGGTGGCACACGTGTCGTCAGGAGTTTAAAAAGAAATAGAAAGGAAATATGTCCAAAAGTGAAATAGTCAATAATAAAAAGACAAATCATGTACAATGGTGAAATAATTAATAATTAATTAAATATATAATTATAAGTATTTAATATATATACATATGATAATTGATGTTATTGCTATCAAAAACAAACAATATATATACATTGCATATATATAAGCTTTATTCATATTTTGTGAGAAAACATTATTTACTATTTTGTTATTATATATCAATAGTTTTCATATTAATTAATCAATCAATCTTTTCTCATTGATCTCTGTGATATTATAAATGCAATAGAATATTTATAATATTTTTAACCAAGAAAGTATTGTCAGATATTGTTAATGTTAGTATTCTATACTGATTTCCATCGAAAAGATTTTTTTGCATTTTTTTTTTACTTTTTTACATAAAATTACTTTGTACATTTGTTTAAAATTATAGTTTATCATATTTTTATATACTTTAACCATAATTTTTTACGCAGATTATCCTTCAGTTTTTTTATATTTTATATATTTTATTACATACTTAAAAATTTTAGAATTAGTTTAAATTATCTACATTTAAATTATTTTTCATTCAAAATTTAGAAATAATTTTTGTCTATACATACGCACAAAATGATCTATATATTGATCAGTATAATGTAGAAAGAGTTTTAAATAAAATGATTTATATGAAATGTATTATAATCTATAAACAATTCTATAAATAAATAAAAAATTTGTAATCAATCAATTTTCTTTCAATTACCTTGTATTCTTAGAAGAAAAAACAATATAATTAA